GAGAGCAACGTCCCGCGGCTGTTGCTCAGAGCCGAGCCACTCAAAGCTTAGTGGGCACAACAAAGAAACAGCCATTTAGCCAGTGGGTAATGGCCCGATTCACATGGAGGGAAAGGCTTACCCTATCCAGTTGGCACCTTTGCGTCGCGAAGGACATAGCGATTTCGTTTTTGTGCCCGGGACTACTAGTCCCACTTCGTTTATTGAGTAACACGAACGCTGTTAACACAGTAATTGCATGCGCACATTCCGGGCTAGTCTAGTACTATTCGCACTGTCCATTTCCCGCCCTGAGCCACACCCTCGCCACAGCATGTCTATCTGTCGACTTCCGCAGGTGCGTGATCCGTTAGTTCGGAATGATATAGGAGTATTGCTCTTGTATGAAAATTGTTCCCCATGCTAGGTGCGTCTACGTTGTACCTCTGCGCTGGTTCTGCAGGAATCGGCGTTCAGATCCGATGACTACGGGCATGTCAACTTGATTCACTCCCCGCGAGCCTGGCACTGTTTGCATCACTGCGAGAAAAGCAATGTCCTACAGTGGCAAGTTGCCTTATTCTTGCTATGAAGGTGTGCGATGATGTCAAGATTCAATACAAAACCTGATGGGTTTTCGCAGACGCTGGATACGACTATTCTCATAAAGGACTAGCGCAACGGAGCTGCAGGGCTGAGCATATGTTAAGATTCCGAAAAGACGAATGCGCGCATCGCCTCATTGCCTGATGCACTTATGTCATATCATCACTGCCGTCATCAGTCGTTGCATTGAAGTTGCTTACGATGTGCGTCGAATGTCTATTCAACCTCTTCTTTTTATGAACAGTTGATTGGCTCGAAACATATCTATTACTACAGATCTGAGTTGATGGGTTCCAAATGCTTCCAGACGTCACTCGCGCACTAACTCTGAATCCAATAACTCTTCACATAACATGCCAAATCCCTCCCACGTTACTTATCAAGTAGACGACCTTCTGGCTTGTGTCTTCTCGGTGTCAGCGCCTCTGATATATCAGCTGATGACACGGGCCATCTTAGAAGCCTCAGTCAATTCTCGTTACGCGATGCATCGAGGAGAGTATATAGCGATTTGACCTCTTCGCCGAGTCTCTCGTATCTTTCACAACAGCCATGAATGGGACAGATCCCAAGCTTCTGATCTTACTTCTTACTGTTACTTTCATAGGATGGCGTTTTTTCCGCCGTAGGACAGGCAAGAGTATCTTGGACAAGATTCCCGGCCCTCCTTCGAATTCATTTTGGGCGGGTATGTCTGGGTCTCATGATAATTTATGGATTTTGATTTGTATCGGTTTTGCAGGAAACATGCTCCAATTTGATGCTCGTGACGGAATGGATTTCCAGAGGCACGTGGCATTGGATTACGGGTCAGTGACAAGGATGCACGGTCTTTTTGGAGTATGTGTACTGGCCATCTTGCTGCGTTTCGGTATACCAATTCACTGATGTAGCAACCGGTTTTGTATGTTTCCGATCCGAAAGCGCTTCAAACTATAATTCTCAAGGAAGAGCACATTTTCCAAGAGCCTCTTGCATTTAGGATGTATATCTACACGTCCTTGATGTTATGAGGATATATGATGCTAATAACCTGTAAAGGACGAACAATTTTGTATTCGGGCCAGGCTTACTTTCAACAATTGGTGAGTGCAATCGACTCGAAGTTACACTTGGTTGTTGTCGACTGACTTCAAATGGGCAGGAGAGACGCATCGCAAGCAGAGAAAGCTGCTGAACCCGGCCTTCTCCACTAACCACATGCGTTCTATACTTCCTATATTCTATGGTGTCGCTCACAGGGTAAGCTTGAGTTCCCTGCAACGAAAGTCATCGTATAGCTCACCAGCGAACAAAGCTCCGTGATGCCATCTCGACTCAAGTCAAGAACGGACCTGAAGAAGTCGACATACTGAATTGGATGAGTCGCACTTCTCTTGAGCTCATTGGACAAGGTGGACTGGGGTACTCGTTCGACCCTCTGACCGAGAACGTGCAGAACGAGTATGGGAACGCCGTGAAAGACTTGTTGTAAGCATTATTTACCTTTTTCGATCGTGTTTTTCATCATCATTCGTCATTTTTTTTTTCTCATAGCCCAAACTTGCAGCCTCTGAGTATGTTCGTGCCTCTTGTTCCCTTGATTGGGAATATTGGCCCTGCCTGGTTTAGGAGATCAGTAACAAGCTTGATGCCATATCGCAAAATCCAGAGAGTTATTTCCATTGTTGATACTATGAATAAAAGGTCATCAGAAATATTCAATGCAAGGAAGGAGGCAATCCGCCAAGGTGATGACGCAAGTCTGCAACAAGTCGGAGGAGGAAAGGATATTATGAGTCTTTTCAGTGCGTATTTCATAGAGATTCGAATTGATAGAGGCATTCAGCATGCAACGACTGTCCGCAGTCAAGGCAAATGCGGCGACGTCGGAAGGGGATCGTTTACCTGACGAGGAACTTGTTGCTCAAATGTCGTCAGTCCACTGTGCATCGCCTTTTCAACTTATAGATGTGAATGCTGAATTTTTGTAGCACGCTTGTTACCGGGGCGGTCGACACAACATCGAATGCCCTGTCGCGTATTTTGTACATCCTAGCAGGGCGTCAGGACGTACAAGAAAAGTTGCGCAAGGAGATCCTTGAGGCGGAAGCAGGTGAAGGGCTGTCTTACGACGAGTTGGATCAGCTGCCGATTCTGGACAGTATTTGCAGAGAAACGTTACGAGTGTAAGCCTTGACCTGCTCTTCGAGCCGACTAGCCACTAATTTTGCCGATGTATACAATTTACAGCTATCCACCAGCACCAACTATATTCCGCCAGTGAGTATTCACAGGAGCCTCTTGTTCATTGTTGATCCCATTCATATACTTTCAGGCCATGCCAAGACACTGTTTTGCCTCTGTCTGAGCCAATTGTTGGTACAGATGGCCACTTGATCAAGGAGATTCCCATCCCGAAAGGCACATTGTTCATTGTGGGCATTATGGGTAGTAATGCAAGCAAGACACTCTGGGGAGAGGATGCACGCGAATGGAAACCTGAACGTTGGCTCTCTCCGCTGCCCAGTACCGTCACAGAGAATCCCACTCCCGGTATCTACTCAAACATGTCAGCGATTCTTCTTTTTCCTTGTGCGCAGAGGCTAAATTACGATACGCATGATAGGATGACCTTCATTGGCGGGAAACGGGGATGCATGTAAGTCCGGCAGCTATCGATGCGTGCTTGCTTATTTAAAGGGTCCTCAGTGGATTCAAATTTTCCGAAATGGAAATAAGTCAGTAGCACGCTCAGACTCCTAGAACGCACGACTGATACTTCCTGATGCAGAGGTTGTGCTGTCGGCCTTGTTGTCCACTTTCAAATTCCACCTCACCGAGAAACCGATCGAATGGAACATTGCAGCAGTGCAATATCCCACAGTCGGAAAAGATAGCAGCGTGCCCGCGATGCTGCTCAGGGTTGAATTGCTGAAGTCATAGGATGTTTGAATTAACTTTCCAGTGTATTTTGAACGTGTGCTGCTTCTAAGATGGATTTTGTCGTGACTGGAAATATGTTGGAGCGAAGATAGTCAGGTGATCGCAAATGAGCGTTGGCTCTGGAAAGAGTCCACCTTGAAAGTGCGCCGCCGCCAGCTTCTCTGTGAAGTTGCCTCCTGGTTCCCTCAACCTCTTCCCGCCCTTTCCTGCCCCTTCCCGTCCCTTTGACACGTTTTGGGAAGACAGAGCTCATCACTATGTTCGCCGTCCCAATCATGCTCATTGATTTGATGCATGACATCACTCGCCGCACTCCAACCGCCCGCTTTTCATCGTCAATATAAGTGACTTGAAGCAATATTTCGCCGGAAATGTGCTCTTCCATCCCTCTCGCCATGTCTACTCCCTACTATACTGACCCTGAAAAGAATTTCTCGCTACCGTCCGTCGGTTCGCGGACGCAACCACCAGAACAGAGCGGAAGGATCTCTGCTCGCCGGTCTCTGTCTGACTTCTCGTCGTGGATACCTAAGTATTCATGGCGGACTGTCTTCTGCCTTCTTGTCTTTGCGTATTATCTGGGCTTCTTTACAATAAGGACGGTTCTTTCATTCAAGAGTCCGCACAAGTACGATGTGCAGACGAGCCAAAACAGCTTTTCTGAGAAAATGCAGAAGCTATGGGGTCCATACGCGCCGTACTATCCAGTAGGAGAGTATGTACCTCCCCCTCTAGAATGCAAGATAAACCAGGTGAGTATTCTCTTGCGTCACGGCGCGTTGTTGGCGAGGATTCTGGGTTGTTTGTGGTGCGCGCTTGAGCAATGAGGTGTCTCGGCTGATTAAATGGTTGAGAACGTGAGGACACAAGTGAGCATAGATGATGGTGTGTGGGGTGAATTTTCGGCTTGGCTCGTTCCCTTGGACAACCCATGGATAGCTCTTGATGCATGCGCTGGTCATTTTTGATCTGTGAAGGATCGAGGACAGCATTTATGAGGTCTATGAATAATGCACGCAATCGCTATTGGAGACTTCGACCAAGCATATACACGGATGCCATCTTGCTCGTGTCTCACATTACATTCGAGCGCTCTTTCTTTTTGACGTAGCTGCCACTCGTTACTCACATGCCTTCATGCTGTGCCCACAGGTCAACATTGTATGTATGCGTCCATCCTCGTGAATGTTACCACTATCCTCACGCGTCCTTGCCAGCTCCAACGCCACGGCGCGCGCTATCCCGCTCTTCTCGACGTACCTGTATATCGCAATGCAGTTGAGAAGCTCACCTCCGCAAAGAAGTTCAAAGGCGCGAATATGCATTTCCTCAAGGATTACAAATATACGCTTGGCGAAGATGACCTCCTTCCTCTTGGGGCGAGTCAGAGCTGGGAGGCTGGATGGCACGCGTACGAGCGGTATAGAGGATTGGTAGGTGGCGAGGATGATTTGTTTATTAGGGCATCAGATCTGCCGAGGGTAGTGGACAGTGCGGGAAATTGGACAAGGGGTGAGTACCCGCCATGTATTTGCAAAGGCATTAGTTGACGGTGACTTGAGCAGGGTTTGCCGCGGCGAGCCAGAAGAGTATCAGGCCAGTCACAGATGATGTACTCTCGGAAGAGGTAATGCGTCCTTCACTGTCCTCATTATTTATCCCTAATTCGCATACCCAGGTGAACAACACGCTGAACAATGACTGTCCAAACGCGGATGACGGCTCAGCGCAGATGGATACATGGCTGCAGCAATTTGCCCCGCCTATTGTTGCCCGCTTGAATGCTGCAGCTCGTGGTGCGAACATCGACATGAAGGACGTGTACGGACTCATGTCTATGTGCCCGTTCGAGAGTATTGTCAAAGCGGGCTCAGGTTTAAGTGCGCTGGATGCCCAAAGTCCGTTCTGCGATCTGTTTAGCGAGGACGAGTGGCGCGCGTTTGAGTATCACGAAGATGTCAAAAAGTACTATAAGACGGGGTGCGTTGTTCCCATTATCTGCTTGTAAAGGCTGACGAAAACATGCCTTGCAAGGCCCGGAAACACGCTCGGCCCTGTGCAAGGCGTGGGCTACACGAATGAACTTCTTGCGCGGTTGACCGACTCGCCCGTGCGAGACCATACTACTCACAATGCGACCCGCCCATTTCCACTCGGGCGTGCGATGTATGTGGATTTCTCACACGAGAACGCGATGGTTGCGACCTACGCCGCTATCGGACTGTTCGACGCCGGTGTAGGCGGTGCACCTGATCCGCACAGAATGCCTCCGGAGGAAGAGGAGCGCGTGTGGGTCGCAAGCCACATGGTGCCATTCTCGGCGAGGATGGTCACAGAGCGACTGGAATGCATGAGCGGAGCCCAAGAAGCTGTGGATGCGGTTAGAGAGGGCACGTTTATCCGTATATGGGTAAATGATGCGTTGCAGCCACTGCGCTTCTGTGGTGCAAACGAGGACGGGATCTGCGCATTAGATGCATTCGTGGATAGCCAGGGGTACGCAAGGAGAGATAGCGACGGAGATTTCGAGAGGTGCTATACTTGAACGTGGTATTTTGGGAGGATACGATAACATCGTCTGAGAGGTGGACATTGCTATTTGCATATGTACTGTGTCGTATTGACGATTATGTCCAGATGCGTTGTATATTCGCGCCTACGCGGGCCCCGGGGACCCGCGCCGTTGCATGACATCCGTTTTCACACTAATATAATGCTCAGCGTCCCACTATTTCCTATACAGCTGCTCGTAATCTGCTAATTTGCACCTGTCACATTTTTCGCCAAGGTCGCCGCCCGGGCTACTACTACCAGGGTATAACACCTCCGTCCCATTTCCGAAACTGTACTCCGTCTTCAAGTCTAGCCTCCTTAACCATACGGAGGCATCCTGCCGCCGATGTATGCGGCGTAATTTTCTTGATATTCGGTTGGTGCTCCTGCATGTACGTGTCGATCGTCACGCCCATGTCAGTATCCACCCAGCCTGGCCATTGGAGATGAGCCCACTGATACGGGAGTAAAGAATGCTGGACCAACCCGGATGAAGGAGTATCATCGTGATGCCCTCCGCGCGAAGGGTCGATCCCCAGCTTCGGCCCAGCCTGTGTTGGATATACATGTCGGTCACAGACATGTGTAAGAAGGAACCCCAAGCAAGCTCACATGTTCAGCGCGACTTTCGTGAGGGAATATGATTCGGCCAGGCCGACGAAGTGCGGCGCAAGCTCAAGCGACGCCTGGTCGGACGACACGAATGCGACCTTCTTCATTTGACCCTTGCGGACCAGTGGTAGGAACGCACGAGTGACGCGCAGCGGGGCGATTGAGTTGACGCGGAACTCCTGCTCTAAGATGTCAAGGTCGCTGCGCGGTCGAAGATGATAAGCGAGTTGCTGTGCAAGGATCAAGTGGAGAGTCTGGACGCACACGTTGTCGAACGTATTCAGCTCTTGCAGTGCTACTCCCGCGTTGTTTATAAGATAGTCGAGCCCACCTCCAACAGAATGCAGCAACGCTTCCGTCTCCGTCACCGCATGGTTCACGCTCTCTGCGTTAGTAACATCCATGGGGACTAGAGCAAGCCGGTCCCGTGCGTACTCCTTGGACAACTCCAGTAGTCCCTGTGTGTTCGGATTGCGCGCTGTGGCAATCACGAAGCTCTGTGGATCCTGGAGCTGTAGGCGCGTTTCGCACAGATGTCAGTACGTAGCGAATATTGCGGACCACCAAATTACCAGCTCAGAGACAAATGCCAGGCCCACTCCTCTGCTTGCGCCTGTGATGAGATAGGACGGCATGTTCGTATTTCTTTTCGATGTGGAACGAATGAAATTATACAAAGAGTATTGCAATGGAGTCAGTGTTCTTCCTCGAACGAACCGGTTTCCTGAATTTATGTTACTAAATTACCCCGCGTACGACACTGACCGCGGCTCGCTCTTCGAATTGGACGGGGTATCATCGATTCAAGCGTCAGACTCCACCCGCGGATTGTTGATTTCGCCGCAGGATTGAATGGTATGTTATGCATCTGCCATGTGCCGCGGTGAAGTGTCCAGTAACGAGTAGCGGAGTAGAGAGCAAACTCAGACCCTTGGTTGTGAATCCGAGCGTGTGACGCCCGATGCAGGCTGAGTCCTTCGAGTCAAGAGTGGCGCTGTTCAAGTTCGATATAGCATGCAGCCTCTCCAAATTTTGTAATCTTCAGCCTGGTGCGCTCTCAGGGCGGCGCCCAAGGGCAGTGACGAACTTTCGAAGGTCTTGGAGCTTTCCACTTCTCGGTGTCAGAACACAATGGCGCTTGACTCACCAAATATGCCCGTAGACGATGCGTTCTCTCCTTCCTTTCACCGGCAGGACAAGACACTCAACTCGAGAGGCTACCTCTGTCTTAGGTCTAATCTTATTGATACTCATCGGCGAACTTCCTAATACAAGATCGACATATGTCTGTTGCCGTAGCGCCCAATAGTCTTTCAATGTGCTGGTCATACACAAATTTGCGTGACTGTCAGGAGGCTTCCATCACCAGGGGAGTGGTTTTCCATCAATCCCGAGAAATTGCACTGCATCTTCGAGTCGGGCTTCCTTGATAATACGAATGCATCCTTCTGCAGATACTCCCACAGGTAGCCTCTTCAGTCCTGGCATATGCACCCGCATCCATGCCTCTGTAGTTTCGCCCATGTCTGTATCCACCCATCCTAACGAAGAACGAGTCAGTCCGGGCTCTGCTGAACGTCAGTCGGAGGACAAAATAAGGGTCGCTCACCGGGGTGAAGTAGTACCGCTGTGATACCCTCTGCGCGGAGAGATGCGCCCCATTTTCTACCGATCCTGCACGCGCACGCATGAATATTTGGCTATCTGTAGAGTCAGCTGCACGCACATATTCAAAGCGGCTTTGGTGACCCCATATGGTTCTGCCACTCCAGAAAAGCCCGGCGCGAGCTCAATTGACGCTTGCCGAGACGACATGAACGCGATTTTCTTATCTTGACCCCTCCTGATTAGAGGGAGGAAGGCGCGGGAGACACGCAAGGGAGAGACGGTGTTGACACGGAACTCTTCGACTAGCTGGTCCAGGTCTCTGTAAACGTAAGATCATGAAGTAAGGGCCCAATCTATGTACTGGCATAGTTCGCTTAGGGCGCACATATCTTCGAATCTATCATTCTCTTGTAACGAGACGCCAGCGTTGTTTATAAGGCAGTCCAGTCCGCTTCCATGAGGGCGCAGCAGCTCTTCTGCTTTCCCAACTGCGTGGTCAACACTCGCTTTATCCGTCACTTCTAGGGCTGCGAGTGCGAGTCGATTTGGCGCATATCGTCCCTCCAACTCTTGCAGAGCTCGTGCCTTGGATAGATTGCGCGCTGTGGCTATGACAAAGTTCTGTGGGTCTTGCAGCTGCCAGACAGTCCGGGAAGGATATGGACAATCATACGTGTCAACACTGGTCCACACACTCTGAATTTGATAAAGACAATTACCAGTTTTGTGACAAGTCCCAGCCCAATGCCTCTGCCTGCGCCCGTAACGAGGTACGAGGGCATCGTGAGTCTGGTCTAGTGAATGATAGCTCGTATTGAACGGTGTAATTCCAAATTATTTAAAAATGAAGACTGTCCATCGATACGTTATGCTATTCAATTGTTCCCGAGTTTTCCCCGCTTCATTCTTGCAATCTAAAGTTATATACCTATCTTGATATTCGCTTCTCGGTCCTGAACACTACTCCAATGGGCAAAATAGCAGACATAGCTTGCATTGACACATACAGGAGAGATGTCGGCAGATTCAGTTAAGTGTGAGTCGATCTCTGAGCCTATTGACTCATGGTGCACTGTCAGTGACAACTTCAAGTGATCCTTAACCTCTCTAAACTATTCAAACTCGTAGATCTCAATGTATGCGCATTGATACTTTGTTCCAGTAGCAATGTACGTGTACTTCATTACCAGGGAAGCTCTTTGCCATCGATTCCAACAAATCGCACCGTGTCCTCGAGCCGGGCATCCCTGATCACGCGCACGCATCCAGCGGCAGATGTATTTGTAGCAATTAACTCGAGACTTGGGGCGTTCTCGTAGATCCACTTGTCAAGCGGGCTTCCCATGTCCGTTTCAACCCAGCCTGGCGAGCTAAGCTCAGGTCGCCAAATCTAGCGAGCTAGAGGTGTGCCGAGACTCACCTGGATGCAGCAGAAGAACAGTTATACCCTCCGCGCGGAGCGAAACTCCCCATTTTCTTCCCATCCTGCAAGCTTATAGTTGGGATCGTCAAACTAAAGCTAGGCATAAATGGTACTCACATATTCATTGCGGCTTTTGTGAGTGCGTACGATGCCAGAATGCCGTGGAGCCCTGGTGCGAGCTCTAGAGATGCCTGATCGGACGTCACCAAGACGACCTTCTTTTCCTGGCCCTTGCGGATAAGGGGTAGGAATGCTCGAGTAACTCGCAATGGGCCAAGGGTGTTAACCCGAAACTCTTCTTCCGCCAAGTCCAAATCGCTGCGAGTTCTATATTTGAGTCCAAAATACTTCATATCATAACTTAGATATGACCCACAGATCCTCGAAACCACGATAGGCCTGTAGCGCGATCGCCGCATTGTTGATGACGCAATCGAGCCCTCCGCTGTGAGCTCGAACCAGCTCTTCCACCGCTTTCGTCGCAGAGTCTACGCTGGCCTTGTCGGAAACCTCCATCGCGACGAGTGACAGGCGATCTGGAGGATATTCCCTGAACAAATCTTGCAGTCCTTGCGAGCCAGCTGGATTGCGAGCTGTGGCAATGACATAATTCGTGGGATTCCGCAACTACCAGCATACGTTGTTGCCCACAGGTCATCAAGGCTTATGAATGATATCGGAACACTCACCAGTTCCACAACGAGGGAGAGGCCAATACCTCTACTCGCACCTGTAACGAGATAGGATGGCATATGTATTCGTTTCAGGTGGTATCCCGCTCAGTACTGAGGTAGACAGACGAGGTCACTATCGGATGCCAAAGAGACTGGAGGAGACGTGAATTCTTACTGAACATCTTATAGGAATCCCTAAGGTGTGACATCCGCTTCTTCAATTCGAAATCTCACGGGGATCCATGGTCAGCAGGAGTCTTCGGTCTTCAGGCATTGACATCGCATATTGCCGGCAACACAATAATGAAGCTGTTGTACAGGGCATAGTACTGCATTAATACCAGGTTGGCGGTCGGCTTCCCATCTTGTAAAGGCGCAGACCTTTGCGATTATAGGTATGTATCTGCTTTTTCAGTTAGCACTGATTCATACGAATACATCATGGACATTGCTAGACAGAGATTACAGGATCAGGGGACCCGACAATGACATATGGCGCCATACTGAGGAGCGGCAACAGGGAGGCAGCTTCGCGCCGTCAGTCAATGTTTCTGGGTCAGTACTTCCGATGGTGGAGTTCAGGTCCACGATGCGACCGCATATCCTGGTCAGAACATGTGTCAAGCCGACGAGATTTTAAGAACCCTTAGACCTTCAATACTACAGCGGACAGCCTGAGAGACTAGAGTGATATGAACATGACCCACATTAGCACAGTCCAAAATAAATGTCGGCAGATTTAGCCAGATGTGCATCGATATGAACAACTCAACAGGTCTCGCTGTATACACACTAAGTATAGCCAGGGTACGCGTGCCAAATGACCTCTGTCCAGTCGACTTTGACCAGGACTTGAACGCGGTACTGATTCGGCGATGCCTTTTTCGGACTTCACCGTGTGCCGGTCGCTTAGGGCGCTTATCGCAAACCTTCATCGCGTCACGATGATATCTCCTTCGCCTCTGCCCTTGCCTCCTCTTTTTCACAAGCCCCACTTCGCCTCTTAATGCGTGAAAGAGCCTTGTTTACAGCCTCCAAGGCTCATTGAAGCTCGTAGCATCGATGTGGTCGGACGGCTCAAACGACTTTGCTTGACTCGACGCCCTTTGTCTCCTTCAGCAGCAATGCCATTGTCCTCGGCCCAACTTTCCGCATGCGGGATCTCGACGGTGATTCTACCAGGTCAGCAATGTTCTTGCGCGCCCCAAATGCACACGTGCACTTCATGAGGGTGTCCGCTTGCACGCGGCAATCCGATGACGGCCTATAAAAGACTGCCGTCTCACAAGTATCGAAGGGACACGTCCGGTATACCCTCCTTGCCCTCTTGATCCCGAAAGATCTTGTCGATTGCGTCGCTGTGCATCGCCTTGATCATGCTGCTTGTAAGTTGCAGACGCGTTCTAATTTGCCCTGACTCACGATCCGTATCAGATTGCTAAGGCCTCCAAAGTATATCAAAAGGCCTTGACTTTAGATCATATCATGGCTTACAATCGAAAAATTCTATCGCCTCAAAGTACTGGCCTTGCAATGTGGCTGTTCTTGATAGCCTATCGCACAAGGATGGTTCGATCGACGCAGTAGATCCGAGTCGGGCCGCCCACGTACCTTCTCACTGTCTCGAGCCTTTTTTCACTCAATACATAGTAGCTTTGGTGAGCCTTGCGATCGCCTCTTGCTTGCCGCGAAACTCACTGATTATATGATCCACGTCTGGGCTCACAGCGTGAAAGCTCCGCACGCTGCACATGCGGTATGGTGTTATGCAGGGATATTTGTCGGCTACAAGGCTTGAAGTTTTCGCACTGCGTGTAAGGTTGGTGTTGGCGTTCATATGTATGCGCCGTATGTGTTGTGAAGCTGTCCACTCACTAGGAAAATTACTTTTCAGTTGTATGCATTTTGGCGCCCCCCTCGGTAGGGTCGACACAAGGTAGAGGATAAGACAGACTGGCAGAGCACAGGAGACTGTACCGCCTTTCCATGCGAGAATCCGCGCCACATCTGCTGGACCAAGCATACCGACGTTAGCGATTCAACTGCTAGCTATGACGTCCCATTCGATGTCAAAGGAATACGCAAAGATGCTCCTGCGATGTTCTGGCTGGAAGTGGCGCAAGAGGGTCAACAAGCAAAGAGCGCTGTCTGACGGAAGTGGTGGGCTGTACAAGTCGAGTGGTGATGGTGGGTTGTGTGCTCTCGCTCCTTGGGAGGTTGGATACTGACAGGTATCCGACATGATCCAGTGGTACAGGCAGTGCACAAGGAAATTTGTCGGGCCTTTCATGTGCGCGCCTGCGCGCCACATTCCATTCTCCTGTTTCAGATTCTCCTGGCCTCTGCGGCGAGGTTCCGCAGAAAGGCTGCCACGGTCCCCATCCTTGAATGCGGTGCGTACAGCCTTGTGAACACGCGACAAGTCGAATCGATTGTCCTTGGCTAAAGAATGCCCCGGAATTCATGTTGCATTCACCTCTGCCGGTAAGAATCTGCCGACAATCTGCCTGGCTTCGAGGGACCTAGACTTTTCCGACTGGACTTCTCTGCTGGCGTGGCGCACAGTCCTGGCCCAGGCGGACGCATTTTACCAGGCGCGATCCCAGGCCCGAGAAAGGACGACTGGATCCTTGGCCTCGCCGATCAGAACTTCTTGCTCGGAGAATCCTGCAAATTTCTTCATTGCCCCCAAACGACCCTGATCACAAAGCGCATCCGTTCGATCGTCCATTATCGTCACCCGTTCGGGCTTACCTTTGTTCGCAAGAATCGGGTACCTCATGACGGCGAGCGTCCGTATGCACTCTCGCGCTTGCTGATCTGGCAGCGCTCCTCCGTGCCCATCGACCCTCGACATGTGTTGAAAATAACGAGTCCGCAATATATAATCTCACGTTGACCGCCTGCCGCTAAGAGCATTACATTAAAGACCAAATTTTGTGATTTTTTAAAATGGGTCTCCAAACTCTCTTCAAACTCCCTTCACTCCCTTCTGCTTCCTGGATCCGCGACGACCTCTGGTCCGCTTGCGACGCGCAGAAGAGCCCTTAGACTCTTGTGTTAGCGCGGCGGCGCGATCCTCGGCGTCGAGGGCGTAGAATCGTTCGTGCCACGTTCGAAGCAGCTGCAGCATCGCAGCATTCAAATCCTCATTACTCTCGGATGGACAACCTCGTAAGGCTGAAGGTTGGTCTTGAGGACGAGGGTGAAAGGCCTGTGGCAATAGGACTGGCTGGGTGTCCTCCTGGAAAGACTGCCCGTTGTCCTTGCTGAGGTAGGGGCCATGCAATGTCGACGCGCTCATCTTGTCACGAGCCGAGTCCACTGCTGTAGAGGATGCTGGAAGATCCTTACGCTATAAGGGGTAAGCATTCAAGTAATTATGCATATGGAGGTCATAGCTCACCATTGCATTATGGCACCCTGCTGTCATAATTACTTGATTGTTTACAGCATTCACCGTGATCTCCCACTCAACGTCGAGGATGCGACGATAATTATCATGAGGCCTCGTGGGGGCAGGTTGGGCCACTACGCATGACTGCGAATATCGAGCCATGGGTGCCGGTCGCCACAGCAAAGGGTCGGTGTACTCATAAGGATACAGGCTTGACTGTATGTCGTCGACTTGCTTGAGTGGCTCAAGCGCCAATTGCAGGTAGTTGGTCGGTAAAAGTGGTGGCGCGTACAGATCGAGAGGGGATAGCAGGTTTCCAGTGTTCCCATCCATGAGAGGAGTTGAGTCAAAATACTGAGACATTGCGACGACTGTCAAGAGACGATGAAAGTGGGTGAACGAGTTTGGACGGATGAGAGACAAACGGCCTCGCTTTTATGTGCGCTTCCGCGGGCGCCTTTTTCACTTCTCATCTGTGGCTGCGGGGTTTTAATATCACTAGTGCACCGGTAAGGTAGGCCCACAAAAGCCTCCGCCGCGCCATCGTCCGTCCTTCCGAGTCGCTCTCGATTCGGCACTGCTGTCCTCGTGGGTGCCGTAGAGCCTCACCGACACGCGGAGGAGGGCCGCATCACTCCAGGGCGATGCAGTGAGCCTCACCGACACGCACTACGTCTATTCTCTGTTACTTGTCATCGCTACATCTCGTCAGGTAAACTTGGACGGGCTGCTGCTTTCTGCTTAAAATAACTCATATTCAGACTTGCTTTGTGACATCTTTACCGAAAGCTCCTTTTTAACTTTGTCCTTGATGCGATCCAGACACTTGTGCGATCGAGGAATAATGGACGCCACATTATGAACGGCTGTGGGCAACAATATCGGAGATCCGTGCTGTTATTATCCTGCGTTTGGTAAAGTCTGGAGTGTGTTTGCCGTGAGCTCCATGCGCTGCTTCCTTGCTTCTGCAACTCTCCCAAATACCATGCGCGTTGTGGCCAACGTGGGGCATTTGCGCTGCAAGGGCTGGACTGTGGCGGCGGACAATCAGTTGCCTCCGTGGAAGGAGCAGCGATATCTGTTGCACTGTCCACACCAAAGGGATATCTCGTTTACAAGTTAGACTGTAAGCTAGGGACATTATGTTTTATGTTCATCAGGCCTCTATGCTATTTGTCTGTTGTCTTCGGTGATGCACTTCGAGCACACTTCCTCGCTGACCTCCCGCATTCTCTCTCCACTACACGTCTATGCGGAATGTTGCATAGATGTCCCGGGACCAGCATCCATCGTCAGCCATCGCTCTCCCGCTCTTCCCGACTGTCTTCTCACGTCCGCACTCAGGGCCGCCACCACTGCGCCCCCGCCCGTGAGAAGATGTCGAGATTTTTTACAAGACACGTACCCCATTATGATCATCCATTGTATTCGTGTCTAAGCGACCGTCTTCTCAATCATATCGGCGGGTGTCCCTATTGCCCCTCGTCACTGTGACGCTTGTTGGGCGGACTGTTCGTTCCTGTGGATAAAATATTTTCTACTCGTCGTCTTCCCACTTTTGGCTTACCCTATTTCTTTCCGAAACACTTGCCACAGCGAAGTCATCGAGAGGAGATGATACGGCATAGGCCTACCATTGTAGTCATCGCCACTGCCAGCCCCCTCGTCCATTCTCCTGCATGGCTTTTTGCCGCGTTCTCTATCGTGAGCTTAGTGTACGCTGAGGTACTGCATCTGCTGCTGAAGCCGTCGCCGGATTCGGGTAATATTCGAGGTCGCTATTCTTTTGCAAGCGTCATAGAGCGTGAGTGTTCTCGCTGAACATTGAGCCACTTGTACGGCGGTGACATATGAGAGGACGCTCATTTTTCGCTACATAGGAACCACTTCATTCGAGCAGTGTTTGATTAGCTAGCTAGACACTCGTCGGACTGAGCGAGCCTGGGTTCGGTAGGGGGCACCGCAAGTTCGGGGGAGGTCTCTTCCGGTCACACAGTGATGTACAGACGGAGTGGCAATAGTGGAGGACGAGCGGACGGAGGTGGCGGTCTCTAAGTGTCAGTGAACGCATGGCGTCTCTGCTTCAGGGACGAGCTTGATACTTACGGGCAAGCGAGACGAAGAAGGCGATTCAGGCGGGGGAGGGGAAGGAGAGAAGCGATGGTCGAACAAAACACGACGATCTTATTCGTTCGAGCACTTGGGTCTGCGCACAAATCAGTGCGCCACAGCGTGCTCCTGCGGCCCAGTGAGGGTAACCAAGGCTTCCTCGCAGCATTCAACTCTGGTCGACGGCAAGACGGCCTCTGCACAGTCATTTTGGTACGTCATCCCCTCTATCAGTGCATTGTCACAACTTCAATTGCAACATGAACTGCACGCCTGTATAGTCATTCGAACTTGAAGGCGAGTCAATACTCTTCGACCCTCTTTAATTGACAAGATCAGTGTAGAACGTGCAGCTCGTGCGCAATGGTGATAGATTGTCTGTAGCAGGAATATCCACGACCCTCAATAGATTTATCAAGATTTAGAACGCAGCGCGACCCACCGAAACACTCCTCGCGCGATCAACCTCGGGAATCTGGCCGAGAGGGCCGCCCAGAATTCATCCACAGAGGGAAAGAGCTCATCTATTTTAATAAACTCAAAGCAGACCGTGGTGATATTGGCGAATTGGGGTCCAGACAAGAGCCGGTCGAGACGAAGGTACGCCTCTTCGTTGAAATTAAGCACTGCGTCCCATATATCTTTGCGCGATAGCCCTCGGTCCCGCAATGGGGCGAAGACGATCATCACTTTGCTAAGTTTCAGCACCTTGTCCTCCGAGACACTGTCGGACAGTATGTTGCACAACCACTCGATCGCTGCAGTGTCACCATGCTGAACCGTAAACGATAGACCCTGAAGGTTTGTACTCCTCTTGAAATTTAAGGTAGTTCCTGTAGGGAAGGTCAGGGCCCCGCGTCCAGCTAGTACTCAGCTCACACCCACTCGTTGATGATACGTTACCAATGTGCATGCTAGAGAGCGACTCTCCCGCAACTTCTACTAAGCGCTGTTTGCAGCCAGCGTCGAGCGTATTGATTCCATCTGGGAATCCAACATGCTTGACAGTGGTTCCTATAGTGGTCGCAATCAGGACATCGACGACGTCATCTATGTCCTGGCTCTCTAGCCGTAGGTGCGTGAGAGTGAGCCCCGTCGGACACTTGACGCCCGGAAGCCTGTGGTGAAGTCGTAGCTCACGGGATGAATGGCTGTCAAAGTTCAGGAATTGCACCCATCGGCACGAGAGATGGCTGAGGCGAGGAAATGCGCATATAAGCCGCGCGAAAATGACCGGCGACGGGAACTGAACGTGGAACAATGACAAACGGGTCACGGATGTGAATGCAGAGAGGTACAGGAATACGTCGGCCGTGTTTGCATTGAACATACCAGGGGACCATTTCACCGTACTCGGCGTTTCGTCCGGAAGCAGCTCAAGCTCTTCCACTTGGGGTAGCTTCCTAACCATCCTCGTAGCGAAGGCACTTAGCATATCCAGATTGCACAAGGTTACTGTCCGCGGTACGTCCTTCAGTGAAGGCCGGCGCTGGATCATTTTGGCCATACCAGCGACATGCTTCTTGCTGAGAAGCACAACATGTCGCCAGAGAAGAAATCGACACCTCGCGTTCCATCGCTTACAGACCATTGAGCAGGCTCGTAGCATCTCCGCCTTTTGTCGGTGGTCGAGGTAGAAGTCGCCGATGATGTGGTTGAACATGCTCTCCCAGACCTCTATAGGGAGCAGGGCATGACGAAGGGTCGGTAACATCTGAGACGACTTGCTCATTCCACCTGTGGCAACGATCAAGCATGTCGTGCATGGATGAGTTCAGCTGACGAGCCAATGTGGCGATGTTCGCTGAACTTACCAAGGTCATCAATAGAGGTTGCTCGCACCCCTTCTCGTGTCGCCTTGGGCTGTAAGGAAATAGACAGGGAGAAGGCGGTGAGAGTCTTGCAGCCCTGCCAACAAGTTGATATATGTCCCTCAAGGCCAAGCACCTCAACAGCGAAGCCTGATCGCCGTTGACATTTCTGGCAGGGAGAACGCCCAGGCTCCACCGGAAATTGAAAGCGGCTTCAATCCTCCTAGTGGCGGTATTCGGAAACGTCCTGAACAGTGCCTCCTGAGCCCGTAATGTAGATATCGAGAAGTGGCACGAGTCCAAGATGAAAGACAATACTTGTTTAAAAATGACTGCGCGATAGTGGGCACTGTCCGGGGCATGTCGTCTGAGTTCACAGCCACAATTTACGGGCCCTGTATCCCAAGTACTAGTGACTAGTGTCTTCTGATATTAAACATCCGAATCGGACGCGCATACGAATACTGCTCACTTCATATCCAACCAGGAGGGCTTGTGGTAGCACTTCGATCTATAGCTGAGCGCATGTATGCAGCAAAACGGTGTTACAACGTTCACCTCTTTCTGGGATGCACGGAGATGCTGGCCTCGCCGCCCACTGAGTCGTAATGGCGGCAAGAGTTTATGAGTTCAGCGGACATGGTGAGTATAGTGCTAGTGGTGACTACTCAAGGGGATTACAACCATGATTGACTCGTGAATAGAACTGAGTACGGCTGCACACTGAGATAAGACAAGTCCAAGACGGTGTTGAACAAGAGCGCACGTCGCGCGAGGATCGCCTTCTGACTAAATGCAATATCATGATGAAGCAGTGCCAGCGGGCTGTGAGTTACTCATGTAGGCCTCCTACCACCCCACGGGTCGCTCAGCCAGAGTCACTGACCAGATTCACCTTTAGGGGTAGACAAAAGGTGCGACCATACATACCAGAATATCTGATAGCGCGAGCGCGCATTTCTGCATCCCGACTCCGATTTCTGTAAAACCGATAACAATGGGAATAATACATTAGAGACATGCCTTGTGTGTGTATGCAGATACTAAGACACATAATGACATAGTCACCAGATTGAAATACAGGACACTATGAATGTGCCCGCCGCCAAAACATTGCAACGTGAAGGCCGCGAGGTCGACCGGTCAACCCGTGTAGCTCCTCCTAGTGATGGCTCCGACAGACTCCCAAGCAGGTAGGTCACTGGTCCTGCCACACTGCCCTCTTCACATCAAGATCTGGATGTTGTGAAAATGCTGATTAGCCCGACGCCAGCTAAGGATGGGGAGATACTCGGTCAGTTGTCTGTCCAGATGGTCTCTTGACCGTTGCGTTAACACCCTGCAAAACTTCTTCGCGCTAGACTGACATTTGCTGCAGCGTAGACTTCTACCTGTGAGACAACTCAATCGTTGTAGAGATCATCCCAGTCTGGTGTCGCCACATTTTGTCTAGTGCTAACGTTCCCGGTCATAAAGTACGATGCACAGAGCTCGCACCCGCTTGATCTGCAATTTCACGGGGGCATAGACATCTTCACCTCGAGCATGAGGGAGGACACGCTGCCTGCCCCATATTCGACCTGGAGGAAATCCAGGAGGACGACACGGACGCGCGGAACGAGAATGACTCAAACGATGCAGAATTTGATCAGACAGGCGAATGCACAGGAAAATTTAGACTGGGAACCACATTCATAAAGGATGCTTCGCTCGGCTTCGCCACCGTGACTCGGAGACATGTGGAAAAGCGGGGGCGGCCGATCAGCCCGTTCCCGGTCTTATACGAAACGTCCTCACCGTGTTGTCTACAGTGAATCTGTGAAAGAGCAATAAGAATACTGTGCCAAGCATAGAGCAATAGCGCACCGTTTACTATAGACGCTCTCACTTCTGGCCCTATCGACCCATGTGCCCTTCGGCACATGTCCCCCCGATATACATCACCATTAAGACGGCGCTGAAGTAGCTGTCATCAATAGGTCTAGGGAACAAAAGAGTGGTAAACAGCGAGCTTCATTAATATTGTGGTATTGCGAAGTTAGCAGAGAGATCAACCCTCAAAGCAAGGCATACGCGCTACTCCATGGTTTCAACAATGCGTGTTTTCATTGTAGCAAGATTCGAGTGGTATCAAGACATGATTGGACAATTATAGAGCGAGTAAAGTGTGATGAACATTGCAGATTGAATAAATGTCGTTGGTCATGATAGAACAAACGCGCTCGTAGATGGACCATACGGGTCCAGTGGTGGGTTGCTGCCCTTCAGGTCCTGACGACGTTTTATGACTTTCTTCTTCTTCAGTTTTCCTGAAACGACACATTTTACATCGGTCAATATGGTAATGCGCGGTATGTCAGAAGACAACATACGACGACCATCCTTACTGAACCTCTGCGAGCTGACCGCATCCACCAATTTCTCTTCCAGCTCGTCTCTCCTATACGTCAAAGTGCTCCCACACGAAGGACACGTACAACGCATCGCACTCGTCATACCGAGGCGCTCCTTCCAGTACGTCTTGCGCAGCTCCGCGATCTCTGCGGTGTACATGCGCCGGCGAATGACCGTGCACTGGGTCTGCGATGCCCCATGGCGAAGGCTCAGGACGGGCTCCTTATCCAGTGCATGTTCGAACGCAACGAGGGCCTCGTGGGGCACGGTAAGTTCGCGAGTGTCCGGGGCCATGTAGCCGAGAATCTTGAGATACGAGACGAGGACGTTTGCGACGATGAGTGGCTCGCCGCGCTGCAGGACAGAGGAGATGGCTAACTCGATGTTAGTCGCCATGCGTCCTGCCAGGCTTCGGAGCGAGACGTCCCGTTGATTGTGATATAGCGGAAAGAGGTGATGAAAAACGAAAAGCAGGTTTCAGTAAGGTCGACGGTTGCAATGGTTGACAAAGGAGCTGAGGATAGTAGAAAGCGACAAAGAGGATATGCCCCTCCACGAGGTACACAGCGCTCAGGTTTGAACACAGAGCGGAGGGCCGCGGGAGGTGCCAGTGGTGTGTCGCTTGAACGGCTCTGGAACAAACGAGAGTACCGCAGAGGTCACCAGCCAAAATGTACGCGTTCGGTCACACCGTCACAGTCTCGTGATCGCGGCGCCGCCCAAGACTTTTGTTCGGTTTTTCCGAGTCTTTTCTTCCTCATCACCCAGTTCAATTGGCTCGTCGAAGTAGTGTTCTACCTCCGTGCGGTGCCTCATTCCCTGGGAAGAGTGACTCTTTCCTCCTGGCTTATCGTAGTTCTACCCTTCTGCGATCGTTGACTCTGGTGGACGACCCTCGCAGTTGCTTCGGTAGAGGCTGGGAGAAACATGCATGCACCCAATTCAACAAGAATTATGTTGATCTCCGTTCATCGGCTCTCCTGGACACCCCTGTATGGCTGTTGCTGTTGCTATCTCAGTGGGAAAGATGTGATATGAGGAGCTGATAACGTACGTCTGCTGGTACCGAGCGGGTACGTATGATAGCTTCTGGGTCTTCGAGTCGCCACCAGTGAAAGTCGGAATGTCAAGCGATTCATACCCCTCATGTATTCATTACAACTCCATTACATGATCAACAAGTCAACATGAAGCAGTCCCTGCGTACTGAACCAGCTGTTGGTGCTTGCAAGTACTTTCGACGATCTGTTTAAGCCGTAATCGAGAAAATCTTTTCAAAGTACTTCTGGACCCCTCCAGCCCCCAAAACAATTGCTCCAACTACACCGTCGGGCCTCACGACCACCACAGTCATCGGACCTTTCTCCACGGCATACCCGGCACGCGCGTGGCCTTCCTTGTCCAACAAAACCATATCCGTGCCTTCAACGCCGGGTTGCGCAGTATCCACCCCATAGATGGCCACTGAACGAATGACCTCCGAGACATAGTTCTTCAGCACCGCAATGACAGAGCCAACCTGAGTGGTGTCGTCCCCAGCGAAGACCAAGACCGTATGGTAGCTCGGGGAGAAGATGTCAAAGAGCGAGAGAGTCTGTCCCGTGCCGACTTTCACGAGCCCAGGAGCATCCGGCGCCCGATCGCCAGCCCTGACGACTCCGTCTCCGAGTATGCCATACGGATCCAGCGGCGCATTCTCCTCAAACGGCTTGCGCTCGTCCTGCACGATCGCGCTCCAACGATAGTTGACCTTGAGTTGCTTCATCTTCTCCTCGTTCGCGTACGCGCGCTCAGTCCTCACACCCTCCAGCTCGCCTTCGCGTGCGCGTGCACTGCGGCGATTGAGCAGCTCCGTCGTCACCTTAAGCATTTCGGCGATGACAGGAAGCCGCTCATCGGTGTAAGATTCCAGCAGGGTGCGCGAGGCGAGACCTTTCTCGACAAGTGCAAGTTTCCAGCCGAGGTTGAACTGACGCAGCATCGTGGTCAGCGATCATAATGGTGAGGATGAGGCTATACATACAACATCTTGCATACTAGAATTCATTCCCTAGAAATCGTGTTAGCTTCAATTTGGCCCACTGATGACTTAAGTCCATATTCACCTGTCCGCCTGCCGGACTGTGTACGTGCGCCGCATCTGCATAGATCGTAATTAGGCCAGAATGAACGATAGCTTCGAATACAACATACCGCCCGCAACGAAGACTCGTCCAACGTTGAACTTATTCACCATGCGTATATGCGGCCTGTGTTGGGGTCAGCGGGCGGTTTCACGAGCGTATGCGGCCGCTTACTGGAAGTATCCAACTGACTTCACCTCGCCGAAGACCAAGTCGTCTCGGCCGCTGAATTTGCGCAAGGTCCCAACCAACTCTTCGCGGTCGCTCAGAATTTTCTTGTAATCAAGAGACCCTAAGAAAGCGAACGCGAAGACGTCTTTGGTCTCGGTGGGACGTAGGAGAAGCCTGGTGAATGACCTATCAGTGAACTGGTATGTGCCGCCTCAAGCTCTGACTCACATTTGCGTCGAGGGGTCTCCCCAGTTGTGCAAAAACTTGTAGATAGCACTATCAGCATAGAATTTTAATGGTGTTAGAGGCTAGAACTCACGTTCCCGTCCAATCCTTGCACATCAATTTCGCCGACAACAGCCTCCTCTGCCCGCTGCTCGCCATGAAATGTTAATCCGAGCTGCTTGCGCACAGTGCCTGTATGCGAAACAATATAGATTCGCTCAAATTTCAAACCAATCACTATCCAGATGACTTACTGTGCGATCCATCGGCACCCACAAGCCAGTGACAATGAATAGTTTCGCTGATCTCGGCGCCGTCAGCCTGCGTTCTCACAACTTTCGCCACCACAGAATCATCATGCTGCTCAAAGCTGTGTAATGTTGTGCCGAGCTCGACATGACAATTATACTTAGCCAGATGGGACCGCAGAATACGCTGTGCCACATTTTGTCCCAAAAGCCATGAATCTGGCTGTTTTTAAAAGCAGAAAGTAAGTCTTGTGGAGGTACAGAAATATTGAAAGAGAGTAGAGACGTACGTTCGGGATGGCTGGAGTTGGCTCTGTGGGAGGGGACATGTAAAATGTCTTAACACAATCATCCCCACCCCCAATCTTGTACGCGCGGAAGGGCAAAACAGGGATTCCGTTTGCTTTTACGTCGGGAAGTGCACCGAGGAACTGGTATATCTCGAGCGTCCGGGGCTACAGACAGGGGAGATTTTCAGTCATTTTGACGGCTGCGATGGATAGCAAAGGAGATACCTGGACGCCGACGCCGCGCTGGCCAACGTGGAAAGCGGCATCTTTTTCCACAATCCTGACAGGAACGCCATTTTTGGCAAGTGTGAGAGCCAGTATGAGCCCTGTGGGGCCGGCACCGACCTATGGGAAAGAGAAGTTAGCCATAGCAACTGGATTACAATGGTTTCACCTACGATCAGAACTGGGACGTCAATATTAGCAGACATAGTAAAGTGCTACTTTGACGATCTTATATTCAACTGCGGAATTTGATGAGAGGTGGGTCGTGTGATGAGCTTGCCCAAGCGTCACCTCTTTTATAAAGTCGGGGGCCCTGCCGTGTTCTACAGGGTTATGCGGCATGACGGTATGAGAGCTGGCTTGTTCGAGATGTGCCGAGTACACACGTACCAGAAGTATGATGTATTTTGAGACGCAGTGAGCCGTGGCGAAGACGTCAAACGGCGACCTATGGGCGCTGGTAGTTAGCTAGGGGAGCCAACAATAGTCTCGCACTGTTTATCTAGAAGGAATCGTTAATGTTTATGCCTTGCCTAAGTATGCGCAAACATTAGCGGTCGTCACAGCCCCTTGCAGATTGATAGTAGGTCGGGTCCGGATTGTCAGGACACAGCGGAGTAATGGCGGGCACTGAAATGTAAGGCCCTTCCGCGAAGCCCCACCACTGGCAGCACGTTCGACCCACTCAATCGATGTACTAGATACTTAGTAACTCTCCCCTCTTGTAAGGCTTCCTCGTCAGAATTCTTGAATTTACTCGAATAGCATGCATGCACTGTCTGGTGTTGTCATTACGATGACCCATGTTGCCGAAGGCCTTGTCAACGGTGTATGCCATCCCGCCGGCAGTGCAGACTCATCAGGCTTACGACGTTGTCCGGCGCCGCACGCAGCATGGTATCTCGGCAACAAAACCATCGTAGGTGGCATTCAGCTTTCAGTGAACAAGACGAGCCGAAAAGACGCGTGTCTCGATGAAACTGATGTGTTACTTGCCGAGATCCACAAGACAGGTTTGGCGTATGCGCACGATTCATTTGTTTTCCGTTGCAGGACTGGCAAAGATATTGCAGGGATCCCAGGCGATGAGGAGAACGAGTTCAAGTCGTCAGCGCCGCAACAGTACTTGCCCATGGTTGTGACCCCATAAGTCATGATCTTGTGACTCCACGCGTCAGGCCTAAGCTCCTTTCCTATTCTGGTATTGTATCTTCCTTTTCGGAAAACCAATGTTACATCTGACGTCACATTTAGATCATGGCAGGATTGGAGTTGTTTGCGCCAACAGACGAAGTGCATAAAAGAGAACTTAACGCGTTGCCTCCTATCTCAGAAACACCTGCACCTCTCCTGTGCTTCACTGCCCTCAACCCGCATTTTTATAAACCCACTCACTCACAATGACCACCCAAAATTTCATCGGTACAGACCCCGTGGATAGATTCCCACCAGAGGCTACTTCTAAAATCGACGACAACGAACTCACCAAACGCGAAGTACAACGGGACTCGACGAAGGAGCCCGGCGCAAACAAACGTGCGGGTGTTGCATCGAGGAACCCTGCAGGTAAATCATGCGTAGTCGTCGCGCCGGTCGCGAGCAATACTAAAAACCATCTGCAGATTTTGATACTTCTGGACAGAAAAACTACGGTGATCCCAAGCCTGTTCAAGGTAAGCATAAGGCCATTTGAGATTTGCATCAAATGATAAAATAATGACATCCAGACCCCGTGATGTGAATGCGCATACTTTGGGCTGGAAACCTGAAGAAAGCTACAAAGTAGATGCCATCACCTTGTGTAATGTCATATTAAGACGAAAGGTCGCGTTCACTGTCGTGGAAGCATATCCGGGCCATGGACCACAATCAATATCCCTAGAATTGAATGCGCGTTCGAGTACACGCTGTGAAACATTTTTGCACACCTGAGCCCGACATGCGAGATGAAGACCACCACGGTACATAATCAAGCCTCTGTTGCACTATTACTGTCCCTCCATTTCTCGTACTTTGCAACAACATCCGGCGTGATTTGTTTCTTGATTGTGCGCGCAGCAGCGACAAACGCATCGTACGGAACCTGAGTTAAACAACATTAACACACGGAGAAACAATGGTACCAGCAAACCGATGCTTTACATGCAGTGCGTCCATGTTGTTTTTCATCGTTCGAAGAGCCGCTTCCTGGCAGAGCGCCGCCATCTCGGCGCCCGAACAGCCCTCCGTCTGATCGTCCACAAGGGCGTGTGAGCCGTTGATACTCTCTTGAACATCGGCAACAAGCTATACTCACCATCCTTGCGAGCTCCGAATAATCCAGGTCCGGCGCGATGCTCATCTTACGCGTGCGGATGCGTAGGATGTCTTCGCGCCCCTGCGCATCCGGTGGCCCGACATAGAGTATGCGGTCCAACCGCCCGGGCCGCATCAGCGCGGAGTCCTGATGAACACATTGATTGAAAATGAGCGGGCATGAGAGCGTGATACAAAGGGCTAAGGGTAGTAGGGCGGCCATATGGCCACTGTGGCGGAGGCTAAACAAATTTGAAGGGAAGACTCACGATGGCCTCTGGCCGATTTGTCGCCGCGACAATGGTGACCCCAACCAGCTCTTCCACGCCGTCCATCTCGTTCAGCAGGCTCGTGAGCACGCCTTCATGTGCGCCGGTGCTGCTATCGGAAGACGCGCGCGCTGTCGCCAGTGCGTCTATTTCGTCCTGGGGTAAATGAAATTCAGCAATCACATCTTGCGACGCAAAAACCAGCCATGCGGGGGTGGAGCGCAGACGCACAAAGAATATGATTGCTGGTGCCGCAGCGCGCGCCTTGCTGAATATCTCGCGCACTGCGCGCTCAGACTCGCCCACATATTTGTTGAGGAGCTATCAGATGCAAATGTCAGCATAGGACGGTAAAAGGTTCTGGAAAGTAACAGACCTCCGGTCCCTTTACTGCCAAAAAGTTCACCCCGCTTTCTGTCGCACACGCGCGTACAAGCAGCGTCTTGCTGCAACCTGGTGGACCGTACAGCAAGATGCCCTTGGGCGCGCGGACGCCCAGCCGTGCGAATGTCTCGGGATGGCGCAATGGCCATTCAACACACTCGCGCAATTTCTGGATGGTTACTGCTTGCCCGCCGACATCGGACCAGTGCACGGGGACAACATCAAGGAAAAGTGAGCGAAGTGCGGATGGCCGCACGGAGGGAAGAGCAGAGAGTAGATCGGTGAGAGTGAGTTGTGGCTCCGAAAGAGAGCATGGAGCTTCAATATCTTCCGTGGAAGCACTCATAGATGCTACCGGCGCAGAAGAAGAAAGCCACCGCTTGATCGCAGCGGTGCCTGCTTCTCGGACGACAGCACTGAGGTCTGCCCCAACATAACCATGAGCACGAGCTGCCACACTACGCAGGTCATCTTGAGGGATATTGTGGGGAGCTTTCGCCATCAGCACATTGAGAATCGAGAACCGTGCTTCGGCATCCGGAATTCCTTCATTTAACCCACATGCATTAGCAGCGATTCCTCTGAAATTTAATATCCGCTTACCAATTTCAATCTCTCTATCGAACCTCCCTGGTCGCCTCAAAGCAGGGTCAATAGCGTTCGGTCGATTGGTCGTCGCAACGACGACGATGCGCTCGTGTGACTTATTTTCAAGGGCGCTATCCATTCCGTCCATAATCGTGAGCAGCTGCGCCACAACTCGCTTCTCGACCTCCCCGCCAGGCCCGTCTTCTCTGCGCGGGCAGAGCGCGTCGACTTCATCGAGGACGATGATACACGGACTGCGCGCACGCGCCTCTGCAAAGACGTCACGTAGCTTCGATTCTGTCTCCCCATGGTACGCGGACGACAGCTCAGGACCGTTGATCACGAGGACCGCAGAATGCGCGGACGCCGCGATTGCGCGCGCGAGATGGGTCTTTCCCGTGCCCGGCGGACCGTGGAGTAGAACGCCGCGTGGAGGCTTGAGGCCTGCATCATGTCCGGCATGGTGCATTTACATAGGCACGAGGCAGTCGGCGGTGCATCCATCGACACGAGGTACGGAAGATATGAGCCTAGAAAGCGAAGGTTTACCAAAAGCCCGGGGGACTTACCAAAATGGCGAAAAAGTTCGGGGCGAGCGAGGGGGATTTCTATTAGATCGCGGATTTGTCTAATTTGTTTATCGAGTCCACCAACGGCTGCGTACGTGTCTTCGTTTCTGCCGTCCTTCGCAGGGAAGCTGGATGCCGGAGCTAGCTGTTAGGTCGAATCAGCAGGGAAAGAAGAAGTGGATCAGGCACCTGCCTCACTTTACTGGCTGCAGCTGATTTATCATCACTGTGGTTCTGAGATTCCACGTACACCGTAGTATCCCAGTCGACAGTCCAGAACCCAGGAGACTCCAAGGACAGTGCTTGGAACTCATTTGCGAGATCGTTCTCGTCCCTGGAAGTTGCTTCGGCTTCCAGGATTGTGGATACAGAGGACACGACGAATCGGCGACCCTTGCCCTCATAGAGCACCTCCACAGTCTGTGTGCGTGTAAGATATTTGAGATCCACTGAACACCGTGAGAGATCGGTGAGCACATTGACTGGTGCCAAGCCGCGCTTCTCGTGAGATCGCGGGAAGATGGAAAAACGAACCGAGCGCTTCCCTAATTAGCAGAGTCAGCCAGTCACACCGCTTGGCATCGTTGGTTCCAGTGGGGTTTGCATTTGAGGAGCTGGAAAAACGGGACCGCGGGATCGCGGAATTAGACTGCTCTTTGAGTCTAACGGTGCGCGCCGGTTGTGCTTTGTGTAAAGGCGGAAGGTGTGCAGGTAATTTCGCGCTGTTAAGGGGAGTGATCGCTACTTGTGCGCCCTCAGCCAAATGGGCGGTCAGAAGCAATGAGGGGGAGACAAGGACGGCTGTATGCGTGGTCGAGAAGAATTGAGCACGTTCGCAAAACATGCACACGTTGCTTACTGACAATCTTGCGGCACCTCATGGGAAGGCCACACGACACCGACCGCAAAGGCCTGTCAATGGAGAACCATCTTGGTTAGCAGGAAAGATACGGTACAATCATACCGGTCAGCTGCACAGAAAGGACGTGGGGAGCTTCCCACTAGATATGCCTCACCTTGTTCTCGGATGCAGCAGCAGATAGCGCAACGACGTCCCCGGTGCATATTTTTGTTCCCTTCAAGAGGTCAACGTTCACGATAACGCGACGTGCAGCACGGAAGGAGGAATCGAAGGCAGTAGAAAGTCCAATGCTGAAGGTTCGCGAAGAAATCGTAGACATAGCTAGCTCAAGATAGTGCCGACCTGGCACGCCTGTGTCGAATTCTGAGTCCAAGATTGATCATGGAGGTTGTATGTCGGTCATGAGGCTGATGGTAGTTCGAATATCGCACCTTATCGCGCAGTCCGGAAAGGGGAAGGATGTAGGGAAGACATGGCAGCGGAAATTGGCGCGAAACCCAAATCGCGGGCTCACGTGCTCGAGCATCCAACGGGCAGACGACGACCTACGACGACCGACACAACCATGAACTGAGGCTGTCACAGCTGGGCATATCACAAACGCTGTGCTACCATTCGGAAGATGCGCTTACTTGGACGTATAGGTGCCCTTTTACTCCTCTCGCTCCTTTGCGAGGCAGAACAATTTGCTGAAGACTTGACTCTACGACCTCTGCGAGATGGGAAGCTAGCCGCGTCATTCTCCTTTACAACCTTGCTGGAAAATGCGACTCCGCGACATCCAGGGTCGCTAGAATACGACGATGATTGTGCGTACCATGCAAAAACCAGAAAGTTGCCATCGTTAATTAAGCCCGGCAGCGCAGCATTACGCCCTCTTCCCCCTCGCACTTGGACAAGTTTTGCGAGAATTTGCTGTCACTGAGCTTCATCTTACACTAAATGCAGGCAAATGGGACTATGATCGCTGGGGATATCCTGACGAGCCGGGTGTGGGTACTGGCGCTGAGCTGTGGGCATGGATGGGGGATAGTGCTTTCATTTCGTGAGTATTAAACCATCCTACCATACTCTTGTTGAGAGTTCAATCACGTCGACAGTGTTGATCAGAGGTGGAAAGGTTTACGGAATGCCCTCGCTGGCTTGTTTTGCGCCTCCCTTGGGTCGTTAGACGAGCAGCGGACGACATCACCTATCTTAAGCTTTCAGCCTGAAGGATCTCTGCCCAACTGGACGACACCGCACCAGCTCCGCCACGCGACGTTGCCGTCAGAGCATGTGTGTACGGAAAATCTAACTCCATTCTTGAAGCTCCTGCCATGCAAATCACGCTCTGGGATTGCTACTTTGTTGAACCCGCATAAATTGTTTGACGCTGATTGGCATGGGATGGGCGTGCACGTCCGCTATCGCCAAGACATAGGTGTTGAAGTACGACTCGCTTTTCAGGCGGTCATTGACCCCGTTCGCTACTCCCCGGAAAGACGCCGAGGTAAGTCGCGGGAGAACAATGTCTCGAACGCGTTATCTTGCGTTGGCTTGCAGAAGTCTCGCAAATTCTAACGTGCATCTATCCAGATTGGTCGTTTCTTTCCATCTTCGACCGCGTTATCGAAAGAGCTTGCCCAGTCGCCGATACCAGCATAATACGAGTAAAGCTTCCGACCGAAGCGTCGTATGCAATGACGCCAACTCCGACCTCGATAGATGCAGACCTGGCGACATTCTTGGTTGACGATGGTACGATATTGTTCTTCAAACGCAGGAATAAGATCTTTACTTACTTTTTGTTTACAGCGATGAAACCTCTTGATATTGTGATGAAGTGGCCAGGGGAATCAGCCTTTAGTTATCGTAATATGTCCATGACCATTCACGCAATGGCATTATCTAATATTTTTCGTATTTAGCACCGCGCTCAATGACAAGGCCTCTGACGCATCTCTCCGTCCGCCGGGCACTCCACGGATCGAATCAGTACTCTGCTCAGCTGTTCATTTCTGTGAAAAATAACTCTCCGGTCCAAGTCCGGACGGGTTATCTCGAGACCATGCCATGGCTGCTGCAGTTCTATCTACATACCATGCATGCCCACATTGATGGTGTCCCACGTGGTGTGTATCCGGACCTTCCTTTCTTATGACCTTACCTCGTGCATCTTGCAAGACCATTTTACTCACTTTGGTATTGCTTGGTGATAGACGATTTAGTAACCCTTCTTTCGTATACCGCGCCCGTTCCGCACGCTCGGCCGACTCTATTGCAAGCAGTGCTGACCCTGCCTCCGGAAAGCACGCTGCAGCTTACGCTGGACGTTTCCAAGCCTTTTTTGCGATATACAGAGCACCCGCCAGACGCGCAACGTGGCTGGGACTTACCGCCTGCCATATTTGTTCCATTCTCCTTCGAGAACATCTCTCAAGAAGATTGGGATCCTAGGAACACCGCGTGGACCTTATTGGAACGACCCACGCGAATATACACACCTGTGTTGCTCGTTGATCCTGCCACACCAGACTTCAGCATGCCATACAACGTGATCATCCTCAGCTGCACACTCATCGCACTAATTTTTGGGAGTGTCTTCAATTATTTGACGAGAACATTTGTGGTAGTACACGTTGGTGAGGACTCCCACTAACCCCAACAACCCGTTTTACGATATACGTATTTATATACTCAATTTGCACCTTGGGACATCCAAATTGCCTCCGTGTGCCTTGTCGCCGATTGCCAGACTCTTATCACCTTGATTGACAGACGGCTGTTTTCGACTTCCGGGACCTTCAGGAGTGATTTCTCCGTTGCCACTGCGGCAATTTCGTCCAGCTGACCAAATGCGCAGAGAACGTGCTTTGCCAAATTAGAAGAGGTTGCCTGCAGGTCTTGCGCCGGGTATGCTCCCGAAGAAGTCAAGCGGGAAACAGCCTCGACTATGGCTTCAATTCAATTGCTGTGGTCAAATACTCTACGGAGGTAAGGCTGTTGGAGCCTACCGCAGGGCCGGCCTGCCGTGTGGCCGTATCTCGCCGGTCGTGGGTGTGCAAAACATGTATTATGAATCTCGGACACGCTCACAGTTAGCGGACCCGGAATTGCAAGCGCACATCGTTAAACGGCGTATAGCTAGCGAGCAAGACGGTCGAAATTTGCGAAGAAGCTGCAACCAGGTGCAAGTGACGGCATCTCGGAAGGTGAGACAGCACCGCTGGAGGCGCATGCACGAGGAAGACTCTGACAGAAGAAGATTCAACTTTCACGCAGCTAGACGGCCATCAGTTGTGCGCTCCTGAGACCCGTATTTCGTCTATCGATGGGTGTTGTACGCCGAATTCGGAGGTCGCGACAGCGGAGCGACGTCCGGTAGATGCTAGGAACAGGACGGCAGGTGCGTCTTTTGTTTATCGTGTTCCGGGAGGCGGGTATGTTGTCAACCCGGCAAGATGAGACTGTCTGCATGAGATATGGATCCTGAAGGATCGGGACGGCGAGAGATTGACTGACTGGCTTATCGATCAGAGTGAACCGCCGTCGACTCGTCTTAGTCTCTTACCGCTGCGGGCGAATACTAGCGTAGTACCTCGAGTACGGATGGAACTTGTGGCTGCTTGGCCCATACTCGGGACGTCTCCATGGTTCCGATTGGCATAGTGTGCACTGACGTGCAACCGTTCAGCTAGCACGAAACACCGCTGGTCAAGCTCCGGTGAGGATTGACGGATCGGGAGCAGCATCAGAAACGTTTCGACCCACCATCGTCATTAACTTCCAGCGCCGCTGCCGGAATACGCTACGTGTGAACGCGACTGACTAAATTACATCACCCACAGAAGCGATTTTGAGGATGTATGAGGGCCGCCGCCCGCGATGCGAACGAGCGAAAAATGGGCATGATGGAATTCCTGCAACTTCTGATATATCATTGCTGCCTCACGACAATCTCACACCGGACGTCAGCACTCTTCGACTTCAATCCAAACGAGCGGGCAGCCGAGCTGTAGCATTTTCAGCTGACGCGCACCCGTAAATGGACCCGGGATTATGTCTGCCCAGACCTCCGAATTGCTTGCTAGGCCTTTGAGGGGGCGTGTTGTCACAAACTGGTATATCATTGTTGATGCCGCCGTGGCGCGTTGCGAGTGCGTGTGGCGTGTCCGTAATGGCGTTCTCTTGCAAGAGTGGCGGGTGATGAAGAGAAATCCCCGGGCCGTCACATGATAAGGTAAGCGTTGTTGTACTGAACATACGGACGACACAGCTATCTCACGGATCGGATGTTTCCTTCAGATCAATGTGGTGCGTATTCATATGCCGCGCCCTTGTGGTTCTGATCGCGCTGTGGCAGGCCGTATTAGCCCAGCGCTTCTCCGAAGTCCTATCCGCATAAATATAAAGACAAAGCTTCCCAATGACTCCTGCCTCCGCAATCTCCCTCCTTGCATCTCCAGCTCTCTGTGCCGGTGGTGACCTTTGGTTGACCGAGGTATCCCATTGCTGTATAGCGGTTGTGCACTTCATACCTCTCCGTTGTTATACCCTGTGTTTCTGACAGACACACTTTCGAGCTGCTCACTATGTGTCGACGAATTGCGTACGTTGTTCATTCTTGCTGCGGCGTCGTGGCTGAACCTTGTTGACAGAGAGGGAACACGATGGTCCAAGTGTGGGGTAACGTGTATTTCAGCTTGTCATCAAACACCATCAGCTGAACAAATCATATGATTATTCACAGCATTTTCAGCGTCATCTCGTCGTCGCGATCATGGATTGCAACTCAGGCAGCTGCGAACGGAGCATTTTGCACCCTCGAGCCTGCAAAGATCCTGCTTGCCTCAAGGTACGAGCGCGCCGGTCTGCGACCACCCCCGATCGGGGCCGCATGGTGTCTCATAAACGTGCTCCTGATCTTCCATTCATTTCGGCCTATATTTTAGAACTACGGGCCAGACGTTCAAAAAGACATCGACACCGTAAAAGACGAGTGCTTCCAATGTCGGGCAGCGGCTGCTCGCACGTTGCCCTCCTGATTGGCGACCAGATGCCACCCTCTTTCCTCGAGAGATTCACGCCCGTCTGTCTTGCTCCGAGTCGCACGGACAGCCTGTGTCATTTGCATGTCTTTGTTATCGCCTCGCACGTCGTTTCAGCATACCTGCACGCATGTAGTATTAATCAGAATGCAACACCATATTACGCCACGATGGCACATCCTACTTTCAAGTATGTGTCATTTAGGACAAGGGCTTGATGTGCTCGCGACGTCATCGAGCGGAAAGGCAGTGGTCAACATGCCCCAGACTCGCTAGGGTCAAATACCCTGTTTACATCAGATGAAATACTTGAGGGTCGTCGCATGGCCAAGGGCACAGGGCCGGAAAAAGGTCGTCGCACGCGAGAATGACTCGCAATGAGTCAGTGCACGCAGAGCATAGTTGCTTCAGGACAGCATATCTCCGGCCATAGTATGATAAGGTCGCCCTGGAACACTAACGGCAAGCGACACGAGGTATGGTTGTTGATATCCACGAAGCTATTCTCTACAAGTCAATGTCTGAACGAGCTGGGTCGTCAGGAATGTACTCGAGCTTGCCATTGAGGAACTCTGGTCCGAGATAACGAGACTTGAGCTACCAATGAGACAGACGTTACAGAGGGGAGGGCTAACGGGCTCTTGGCGTCTGACATGCCTGTTAGTCTGCTCCCGTGCTACTCCGAAGTTCTGAGTGATTGAATCGATTCAATCTGCGCATTACCGAGCAAAATGAATACACTCGATGACACTCACGACGATTGTATAACAAGCCATGATAATCGTGAGACGGGCAAGTCTATGAGCTTCAGAGTTCGATATTACAGAGGTGGTTCTAGGCGGATGATGATGGCGCTCGAAGACAGCGACGATCATACCTTTTTGACATGATCTAACATGCTGGCAGACCTTCGCACAAGCCTTACAGGCGAAACGAAAGGAAGTCTTGGTGCCATCTAAACATCAGTACTCAACTGAATAGAACTTCCTGATAACGTACTTCCTCAAGTCTTCCAGAAAACTTCTCGTGTTCAACGGCTGAGGAAAGAGTACCCAGCAAGTACCTTCTCTTACATACAAACCCCACGAGGAAAGATCACATAGCGTGTTCCTACGCGAGTTAGAGAAATTAGATGGCGCTGAACTGCGATAACGACAGATCCGTACGCACTGGAGATTGCAGATGAAAGCCGCTTCATGAAAATTAAACAGTATCCGATCGTCTGGTGTTTGTACGTCAAGATAATGGCACGAAGAGTGGGACGCATGCCACAGAGTCGGAACGACAATTCACCACTTGAGCCCTTGACTGTATACAGCGCACCTGTATGTAGTAGAGGCACGAGCTTCCCTCTTCTTCCAATGATCAATTATCGCACGCGAACCATGACGCTGCTATATTGCGGACGCGAGTGACAAGGCATGAGGACAAACTACATGCTTCGCGATAGCTCTGACAACGGGCCATGCCCTTTTGCCATATCTCGCGGATACCAAATAAGGGCGAAAAATGATTTCGTCAATGGATTGATACACAAGGCTAGTCGCTCAGTCTATTACCCGCCAACATGTCCTCTACATCCTCATGACGCTTAGTGGGGGTGGTTCTTGTGGTTCTCTGCGACGAGCGTAAGAATCTCATGAAACAAGCGACATGTCATATACTCACTCAGGTGCACTGTATCACAAAGAGCATCAGTCATGATTATGACGCGTGAGGAGGGCATAATACACATACTCTGGTAGTCAATGGTGTACCCGAGGCCGAAAATTGACAAGATGGTGAAAAGCAGAGGCGCGGCCGATGCGTTCTTTCCGTTGAAGAACCTGGCCTTGAGTCCACCCACAGCAGACGCAGGGGCGGGGCCTTTGGGCAACTTTGAGTAGAAGTTGACCAGCGGGCCTAATCCTGCTCCAGAGCCGGAAGACTGTTGCCGCAAAGTGGCCTGAGTATTGCCGCGAATATCATGACAGGACGCCTCACCAGAATTGACGGCGTCGCAATTTTGGGCGGAACGAGACCCCCTAGCTGGCGACGAATGAGAGAAGGATGCATGATGACAAGTAGAGACAGAGACTGGTGAGCTGAACGTCGCGAACGGTGACAGACACTTGTTTGGTCCAACCAAACAAAGCCGCCCGCCTTTCCCCGGAGCAGCGTTAAACCTGCCGCGCATATTGAGTGCTCTCCAACCCTAAGTTGTGCTCTGATAGCTGTGATAGCTATGAACGAAACAGTCATATCATTGCAGAAAATGCCTTCAAAAATACATCAGGCAAGTGTAACTATCCCGTGCATGGATTCAATTTAAACTAGTATAGCAAAAATTCTTTCCCAAAGATTTCTTGGTGCATCAACTTTCTCTATCAATTCTGGCACATTCTCTCTGGAAAATGTCATCTCTTCAAATTTGACCAATTCTGTCTGATAGATCAACTTGTAGCCAAAGGTCAATAACAAAAAAAATGGCTAAGTTCAATGCATATTTTAGTGTTAATATTATATTTGAAGCATAAATTCAAAACCTACTAATGGCACATAAGAAGCTAAGAATGTAGAAACAGGTGTAGTGTTTCTACAGGATGGAGTTGAACATAGTGCAGGAGTTGCATCAGTTTCAGCTAAAAAGTTTATTTTAGTACATAAGATAGTGTATATAGCTGATTATATGCCTACCAATTTGCCAATCATTATGGATAAAGACATCCCTGATACAATAATGAGTTTTGCTAATTTAATAAGGCAAAATATACTCACCATCCATTGACAAGCAAAATAATCAGGCAGATTATAAATGCATACCATGCAAGCTATGAAATTAATGTTGAGTTTTTCCAAATGTAATAATAATATCTCAAACATACATATGGCTGTCCAGCATGCCTATGGTTTTGAATAATTTTAAGCTGTTCTATTAGTTCAGCACTTGGCTCATTGAGCTGCTTGTTTTTCTCCTCAGCATATATAGTGCCATGATGCCATCTATGAATGAACAGCATTCAAGATAAAAGCAAGTAAAGATTTACATATCATCATTCACCTTATGTATATGAACAGCATTGCAGCCCAAGACTGCAGTGAGGCTACACTTGCAACAGATACTAGCCATGTAAATGCCTGAAGTACATATAAATATGTATTTACAGTAATTGATTATCCAAACTCACCTCATCAGCACTATTGCTTCCAGCTAGCATGGCAAGCAAGCCAAGTGATGCTGATGCCAATACACTAGCAAGTGGCAATACATAAGTCAATTCTTGCCTTGTAACAGTAATCTCATCAGCTGCCCTTGTACTTGAAGAATCTGGCAGAGAAATTGGCTGGTCTGGAACTAGAGAGATATCATGTATTGAAACATCAATGCAGGAATAGAAATCTTCAATCTCTTCTTCATCTGCTTCATCTTCACCATCATTGGTATTTTCACCAGATTCACTTGGTGGTAAGTGAGGATATCTAAGAAGAGATTTGAAAAACTGAGGTGCATGCCCACAGTGAGCAAGAAAGAACAAAAATCTGCTACTGATATAAATATCAGAAGCTGCTGCAGACCAGGCAGAAAGCAACATAGCAGCATTGAGTATATGTGCCAGCTAATAATGTGTTAATTAGTAACAAGAAAAACAGCAAAGTCCAAACTCTACATACAACAGGTATGCCAGCAGAATTGAAAGCAATCACAAATGGAGATTTAGCACCAGTAGATGTTTGTTGAATCAAGTCTGGATTTGTAGGGTGGACCAGAAGTCCTGCACATATAATGCCACCAATATAAAAGAGTGTGCTTAATTTTAAGATAGTTAGATCCAATTTAGATCAAATAGTGAGCGGTTTTAAACATACATCCTGACCCAGACCCTACCCAAGGCACGTGGCACATTCTGCAACTCTGTTAGACAGAGCACAATACAATAAAAAGTTAATGAATCTCACCCTTGTTGCATCAATCACCTCTCCTGCAGCCTAATAATTTAACACATCAGTGACATTTTTACAGAGAAATCATATAAACCAACAATGCCTGGTACTTCAGACCCAAAAAAAGAGAATCCTGCCTGCATAAGAACTGCCAGAAATCCTAAAAACTGCCCCTTTGGACCAGATATTCCCATATAGCTCTCTGCAAATGGCTCTTCCCACAGCTTGAATCCTATTGGCCTATGAAAACTCTCAGACAACATTGTAGTCACAATTGAAAGATTACCTACTTCCCTGTTCCAATGCCAAAATCCAAGGCAAGGCTGACTATGACTGATCAAAGATTCAAACTTAAAGCTGAACAAAATGCTTCTATAAAACATACTGATGATCACAATTGTGAGCACCTTGAGGGTAGAAAACCAGAATTCAAACTCTCCATAAATTCTTGATGGAAAAAGATTGATTATCACTGCAACAGATAACTGTGATGTTAATATGTTAGTCAGCCACACACAAGATACAAAATGAAAGCTCATACAAAAAGGCCTGTAAGCCCATATAATGTTCCATCACTTGAGTGACACTTGTTAGTCTGAATAATTGATGAACAGAAGTTCAAACATACGATAGGATGTCCTTAGGGATCCAATAACCAAGAAGAAGTACAGCCGCAGAGACCTCCGCAGCTACGACGTCGATGGCATAAGCATGAGGATTGTCGCTACGCGGTGATGAACAGACATACGAAGGGTTATGCTCCAATTGTACTGCATATAAGTCAGTTTCGGGATACCATCCAACATGATATAAATGTACCCAAGCTGCCCAACCCATGGAAAAGCCGAGGGCAGGATCAACATACAGATCAGCCAGTCCCACAACTCCTCCAACGTTCGGCCTGCAGAGTATGATTACTGGGAGACTACAGCAGACAAGACAAAAATACTTGCAGAAATGCGATCATCTCGCCAATGGATACACAGAGACAGTAGACAACCGAACCGATGATGCTGTAGCCAATCAGAGCGCCAATAGGCCCCCCATTCACGAGTGCCTCCTAAAAGACAAGAGCAGTCAAAACAGTCACCGAATAATTACACCCCCCAAGACATACCCCAGAACCGAGAAACAGTCCAGTCCCGATCACACCCCCTGAACAAATCATTCCGATGAAGATCATCACTCGCGACATATGATAACAGATTGACGGACCGACGGATATCATACCAACTGCACACAGATGCGATGAGTGCGCTTCCCTCATAAATTGCGCAAAATGTCTCGCTTACTGTGCTTCCGGGAAAGCTGAGGAGGAAGATCTTCCTTTATAGTCTGCCATCGACTTTGCATGCCACGAATGCGTGCTGGGAGCCGCTGCAGAGTCTGTCTGGCATGATGAGGCGGCTCGACTATGGTGACCGTAACGTGAGTCTTCTTCCGTTCTCGGACCTCGCCCGACACGTCTCCCAGTATGGTTGGCAGCCTTGCAGGCTGGCTCGGAAGCTCTGAGGAATTAGCCATAGTGGCTAACCAGCTCAAGGATTATGTTCTAGTTATCGCACAATAACGGAGGAGGTCGAAGACGCAGCAGTGGGGAGGGGGGAGGGAGGTCGGGAGTCCCCACAGTATCTGAGGTAGTTGTTCCGCTACGTTCGCAAGTGGTATTCGGCGGCTCCGCCAAGTCAAAGCTGTGATTTGGCTGTCCATTTCATCCTAAGGCGGTTTCACCGACATCAGGCACGCCAGGAGCTTATGCAGATAAGAGACGCATCACATATGCCTAACCTTTTACGATGTCCACGACGCAGGACTCGGCGAGCATATAGCTCGTACGCTGTCTCAAAAAGTATTTCTTCTGAAGCTTATCTTATTCGCGTCGGGCGACCTGAAGCTACAATATCTCTTAATTCACGAAGGCCTGCCACAATCACATACCGAATATTTCTCGCAGTAGACGAGGTGTACACCCAGTAAAATGGGGTCAATGAGGAGATGCCCGAAGGTTCGAACGTAGGCCATCACCGGCGCCAACGTTCAAAGTTGATTGATTTCGCACGCTCCGCTAGCCGCTGGACTTGTATGCCGAGTAGGTACTCGCGTTCTCAGAGCACTCGTACGGGCTTCCCGTGCGTTTCGTGTTGTCCTGATTTCCTTCTATTTCTGCGTAACCGCCTGCCCTAGTAGCTACGTATATACATTCCTTCGTGTTATAGGTAGAGGGTAGTTTTCGAGTACGCGACAAATGCAGACCTTTGACCTGTCTATCGCGTCTGAAGACTTCGTGTGGTGTCACTTATCATTTCCCGCGATAACGAACAGGTCCGCAGCCTACAGGACCACTGGACACAATTCCATATTGATGACTCCCACCGAGTGGCAGAACGAGATCAATCTTCGGGCATAAACTTCCCCAAGTCAAGTTATAGCGCGTATCCAGTCTGATTCTGGCCGGAGGAAGTTCGACACAACCTAAAGTCCCGTGTAGCAACGTCGAGTTTATAAAAAGCGGCTGTGAGGCTCCACGTCGACTCGTCTATCGAGCACCGCGCCGCGTCACAGCACCTTATGTATTCTTGGTGTAACCTACCTGCGTCTGTACTAAACAACAACACCCTCCAAGCCCAGCAGTGCACTTCGGGTACTGTGTTGCCCGGCGAGACATGCACAATCTGCCCTAATACCGATATAGCAGGCGTAGGTGTGAGAGCCGCGTTCTATGTGCAGAGTCTGTTCAATAGTGAGCGATTGAGAGGTCAACTATCGAATGTATCACTGAGGATCACACTTGCTCAGCCCTTTTAGTGATATTTTCCCCGGAGGATTCAGTACCAAGTGCCTGGGCGAGTACCTTACTGACTGCAGCACTCGTCATAGCGGCCGTCGTCCAGAAGATTCAAGGCAGCATTACACTCCATCACTCTATTCTAGTACTCAAGTACGTACCTATACGCACAGTGAAGGCCTTTATTTTCTGAGAATCTCAAATAACTGCAGCTATGCGACCCTCTCCTGTATTAGCTCCCTTGCTATCGCACCCATCCTTCCGGTTTGGCGGATAGAGTCTGGCGACCCCGTTGCCAGGGGGATCAAACGGGGACGAGAGCACGTCCAATCTCAAGGAGATGACACTGAGTCCATAACGAACATGCTCCTCAACACCAATGTCTATACGAAGACGCGGAGAAGATACATCCGAATGTCCCAGGAGAAGCAACGCACAGTACTTGCGCTCGCGCTCTTTCTACAGGTGAGATCGTTTGCCTCAATGGGTGAATGAATTCGCCACTCATTTACGTCCGCTAGGTAATTCTCCAATGGTCATGGGGAATCCTCATGTTCGTATCGCCCAGCTACAGCCAGAAGGCCTGCAGTGCCGACACAGTGCTACTGTTCTTTTTTGTGCCGTTGACTGCTCAACATATCAATGACGGCCGATTTTATGTTTGGGCTTTGTGGTTACTTCTTTCGCTAGGTGTCACATTATTCTTGACCGTAATCTTGGCGATTTCCAGTCGCACTCGCGCACGCAAGGCGTTATCGCGGCATTCTACCATCTCTTCCATAAGTTCGACTTCATCTCCGTTTTACCAACAACTATATCATACTACGATGGCATCGATGCCCCCATTGAAGGACCCCAGAAGACAGTCCATCTTCTGGGGCAACGTCCTGTTCGCAAGTTTCTGGATATTGTTGATAATTGGTAGGCGCGGTTGAGATTTCTTGCATTTGCGATGAATCACGCTTGTGCAGCGTCCGAACTGCAAATAAGAATGAACTGTATCTTCTCCGGAGAGAACTATTTCGGAGGTTTTGGCCAGGTACGCTACTTCATTGTTGCCGCAACTCAGCCTGACTGCCAACGCTCCAGATCACAGCAACCTTTCTGGCCTTCACGCCCATCTGGAGTCTCACAGTCGCGCTGTACCGATATCCTGCGGAACTCCGGAAACAACGGCGTAGAGAGCTGGCTGCACGGACCTCCAGTCTCCGCCACCCCAGTCCAGCAGCTGTAAGCCGTATCGAAGTGTTTCCGCATCGAGTTCATGCGGCAAAAGTGGATGATGGGCATTTGTAGCCTAGTGGAAGCGGTTGTTCGGTCGCAACCTCTAGACCTTGACAGAGGAGCAGACAGGGGATGGAGTGTGGGATAGACGATGGAAAAATTACATTAAGACCCCCTTCTGACTCACAATTGCCGCGGATACAGGATAGTAGATATAAACACGTGTAATGTGTGTAGCCATAGAATCATTTCTTGTGGGCAATGAGAACATGAGCATACGATGCGAAGCACTCGGTGTCAGAATACTAGACGAATACACATGTAGTCTTCCAGAAGTTCATTAGAGCCTCAAGTGACACGGCGATCGACACGATTCATGGTGGCGTGAATCATACACTGTGTACCCAATTTACTGGCGAACAGCGACCTGGGTCAAGCTTCGGCTGTCCAACTAACCAAATGTCCGGAGATGGCTCTTAGAGACAAGACAATACGACAGGTATGCGAAATATCTGGAAAAGATTGTGGTTAAGTTGTGCTGCATCATTTACGCAGGCAAAATGAGAACTGTGATTCTATCGGTCAAGAAGAATGAAACCAAGGAAACATTTCAGTAGTGACGTCGACGAGCGGCACACACTAGTCGTTATGCGTAGCACAGCCTGGGGATGGCAGTCACAAGTACTACTAGCTAGGCAAACGTATTGAAAAGCTCAAGCAACCTCGGCCACGTGCGTCGCGTCTAGTTATTATTTAATCGGGCCGGAAGAGGCCCTCGACCTTGCAGCACCGAATCTGGTCCACCCGAGAATGCAACGAGACTGAGCTGAGTTTCTGATCCATTCGATTATAAAACCTGCCGTCTTATTCCTCGACGACATAGTTGCTCGTTACACCCTATGGCCATGGCGACCACATCTTCCAAGCCGATGCGAGAGCAGGTCGAAGAGTTCATCTCCAAGTTACAGGAGGACATAGTCTCCGCTCTGGAGAAGCTCGACCCCAACGCACCCGCATTCAAACGCGATGACTGGCTCCGTGCGCAGGGAGGGCGCGGTCTTTCATGCGTATTCGCGGTGCCGGACCCCAGCGTGTCTGAGGCAGCAGCGACGGCCCAAAATTCCGTCCTCGAAAAGGCCGGTGTTAACATCTCCATCGTCCATGGCATCCTCCCCCCTCCCGCCGTGAAGCAGATGCGCGCAGATCACGGCTCGATGAAGGACCTTGAAGGCAGTCTCCCGTTCTTCGCAGCCGGCATCAGCCTCATCGTCCACCCACGCAACCCTCATGCGCCTACCGTGCACGTCAACTACCGCTACTTTGAGATCACCGAGCCCGTTCCGGAGGGGTCACAGGAGAAGGGCAAGATCGTTGCATGGTGGTTCGGCGGCGGAGGCGACTTGACGCCCTCGTATCTCTACGAAGAGGATGCAAAGCACTTCCACGCCACGCACAAGGCGGCATGCGACCCACATGGTGCAGCAGTCTACCCGACATTCAAAAAGTGGTGCGACGAATACTTTGTCATCAAGCACCGCGGCGAGTCGCGCGGCATCGGCGGGATGTTCTTCGACGACCTCTGCGACGAGCCGCACAAGCGATTCCTCGAGGCCGGTGGCGAGGAGGCCAACGCGCAGCGCCCGCACACCCCGGAGACGATCTTCGCGATGATCAAGGATCTCGGCAACGCGTTCCTTCCCTCGTACATGCCCATCCTCGAGCGGCGGATACACACCCCGAGCGATGCGCGCGCACGGCGATGGCAGTTGCTGCGCCGAGGGCGATACGTCGAGTTCAACCTCGTCTACGATCGCGGGACACGCTTTGGGTTGCTCACGCCCGGCGCGCGGATCGAGAGCGTGCTCATCAGTCTGCCAGAGACGGCGAGATGGGAGTATGGCAGTGAGCTTGGGAGCGAGGAGGGGAGTGAGGAGGCTAGATTGATGGAAGTGCTCAAGAATCCGAGGGACTGGGTATGATGAAGGAAGATATCAGAACAAAGATGTGGATGTATTCCGCCCGGTTCATGTATTTAAACCTGCACAGCAAGCCGGGCTTAGGATGTAGATGTCCATTCTAAGTACCGTGGCATGTACTCAGTGTGCATGTGAACGCTGGTCATACGCTTATCCCGCGTCCCGGCCGCATCTCGTGCAGGAGGTCCATCATGATGGTAATTCAAGATATTAACAGCTATCGCAGTATACGGGTACTGCCAGTGTACTTATTAATTGTTTGTATGCTCCTCCAGGTCCCGCAATGTTACGATCTGGAACCGACGTCAAGTTCATGATGTTCGCGGCGAGGCCCGCTCGTCGTATAAATATAAGTGTCGCTCCTCTGCGCGCGCGGCGGTTACCACGATAGTGTCTTGACCTTTCTCAGCGATGACTTTGGCGGCGACGTACTGGCAGAATGGATCCCTCGACCTTCATAATGTCGACGATGCCTTCTACCTACCTGATTATCACGTCGTTCGTGGCGTTTGGCGTAAGTACCGGCAGCGCGGACTGCAGTTTCTCGTGGAAAAAGATTGGCATGACCATGGCTTCTTATATCCTCAGTATCGTGCCTAGCTCTCCTGCTATATGATTTTTGTGAGTCTACCGACGTTCATCTTTATTCGCTAAATTCATGATCCCAGGCTTGACGCTCCCGATGGAGGTGCGGAATCGCATACTTTGTAGGCCTGATTCAATTCAATTGGAGTATGACAGGTCGACTACGCGTGGCACAAAGGCCTCAACTGGATGCGATTGAACTTCTGGGTGGTGAGTCGCGCATGTCGGGATACAAGTTCGCATTACGGAATGATGTCTGCGTTTTCAGAATCGCTATTGGTCGTGTGTATCTCGTCTCGTGTCAAACTGTCAAACTCGTTTTAAATTTGTTGATATGCCTCAGGCTTGTTCAGATGATGTACGATTTGTGTTCCTTTTTCTGTACGTCACTTGACCTTTGCCATAGATTTGGTAACGTAGGTGGGTCGATCACAAATCCGCTCCACTCCAAGTTTCGTGATCGATGTCAACACCAGTAATGTTTGTCGTACCGAATGTGGAAGCACAGGTATGCACTGTTATATGTTCTTCATATTCGACGGAAAACATCTTTCGCATCATTTCGCATTATACAGTGGTATGTGAGCAAGTTCGCATGGGTGTTTGTGGCGACACTCAAAATTCCAGATTACAGGTGTAAATATTGGTTCAGCTCTATACCATATGGGGGCATCCCTACGTACACCTGCATAGGCGGTGAAGGACTCTTCACATTACTTCAGGGCATATATTCATATTTTACTCCAGTAATCTTAGCTTTGAGAATCTATGCTATGTTCGGCTGCAATCAATCACTCCTTATACTCGGTACAATTATATTCGGCCTGAAACTTATTGCAGAAGTCATCATGGGCAGTCTCATATTCTATCATCTAAGAGGTGAGCAGGTATTACGTTTTTGGTTGTACCAGTCGATCTTATGTTTATGCAGTCGTACAACTTCCTCCCTCGTATACCGGCTGCATCCCATTCAACATCCAACCATGGGCCTGGATGTTCTGGATACCCAAAGTCATCTATCATACCGCAATGTTTGTCATCATCCTTGTCAAGCTCGTGCGCGAGATGCGAGATGCAAACCCGACTCCACGTATGATGGTCCTGCTCCTTCGAGATTCGGCCACATATTACATTAGTACGTGCGTGATAATCATATTGAATTTATACATATGGAAGGATCGAGTATGTTATCTCTTGATGCTATTTTCATGACACATCTTGAAGTTTTATTTTGATATTCTGCAGCCATCACTTTTTCTGGCATTCCTACCGTGAGCACGTACTTATTGTCTCACCTATACCAGCTAACATCTGTAATTAGGACAGCTACCACGATATCCTCCATCATGAGCTACCGAATGCTGGTGAGAATGCAGCATTTTAACGTTTGAGTCTGCTCACTTCCGCTATAGTTCAACTTACGAGAAGAATTATTTGCGCCCAGTGATTGGCATACATCCCAGTCGTCCTGGAGTTCTTGTGACTTTGCCACACTTGATACCACTTCTTCGTCCGTAGAGAAACATTAATGTATCTCACCTCAAAGAACACATTGCGTGGGAGAGGAGTCGTCAAGAAGTCATCGACCCCGACCCATAGCATCAATTCAGACTCTGGAAGCGCTCAGCGCTCAGATCTCGCCCGTACTATGCTAGACGGTATAGTCAGCAGGACCCATAAGTTGGCAAGTCCGCGATGCATGTACAACTGGGTGGCGGCTCGTTGGAATCTGATACTGTACCACAAGCATGGATAAAACTTCCCACGCCTTTCCCGCGTCTTTGGGTCGACGACGTCCACTTATTGACGGCTGTATGACACTCATGACGAAGACGTTACTGCTTATTTATGGGACCTGCCGAGTAATTGTACTTACCGTCTATTGGCACAGTATGTTGCGTGGCCTCTTGGTTGGACTCAATTTGTTCCTCACTTGGTCCCTATGGGCTGCTGCGCCGCCATGGGCGGTACGTCAACTTGAACCTCGTCTACTAGTGCGCCCGACGCGCGGGTCGAGAGCGTGCTCACCATCTAGCCGGAGCCGGAGAGATGGGAGTGAGCTTAGTATCGAGGTCGGAGGTGCTCAAGAATCCGGGGCACTGCGTTGATGAAGGAAGACCGTGATAAGGTCCTCCTAGTCATGAAGGCCGTGTATTCTATGCGGCCCCGGTCTGCACAGCAGGCTAGGCTTGGGTTCGATGCACACAGCTGCACGGCACGCTCAGGGTCTAAGATCTGACTGTGCGTTCCATCTCGACCAGCGGTCTTTGGTCGGATTGGTTTTCATCATTACTTCCGTGATACATTGCATGGCACATGCCGACAACTACAACGATTGGCTTATCACAGTAAGTTGTTGTACTGCTGCCCTTGATGTTTTGTTTAATACTTCAGCTTCAGGTACTGCAATGTTTCGAGACCGACTTTTGAGTGATGACGGAAGCTGATGCTCAGGGACTCGTCATATATAAGTATCATGGGTAGATGCACGATGGTTAGCAGTATCTTGGCCCTTCTCAGCGATGATTTTGGCGGCGACGTACTGGCAGAATGGATCCCTCGACCTTCACGATGTCGACGATGCCTTTTACATAGTTGATTATCACATCGCTCGTGGCGTTTGGCATAAGTACCAGCAGCGCAGACTGCAGTTTCTCGTGGAAAGAGACTGACATGACCATGACTTCCTTTGCCCTCAGTATCGTGCCTAGTTCTCCTGCTGTATGATTTTTGTGAGTCTCCATCGGCACTCGACCTTGTTCACTAAATTGATGCTCCCAGGCTTGACGTTCCCGATGGAGGTGCGGAATGGCAAACTTTGCAGACCTGATTCAATTCAATTGGAGTGCGACAGGTCGACTACGCGTGGCATAAAGGCCTCACTTAGATGCGATTGAACTTTTGGGTGGTGAGTCGAGCATGTTGAGATAGGAATTCGTATTACGGAATGATGTCTGCATTTTTAGAATCGCTACTGGTCGTACGCACCTCGTATCGTATCAAACTGTCGTACTCCTTACGTTACTGGTATGCTTCAGGCTTGTTCAGTTGATGTACGATTTGTTTCCTTCTTTTATACGTCAGTTGACCTTTGCCATAGATTCGGTAACGTAGGTGGGTCGATACCAAACGCGTTCCACTCCAAGTTTCGTGGCTGATGTCAATACCAGTAATGTTTCTCGTACCTAACATGGAAGCACAGGTATGTACTATTATATGCTCTTCAAATTCGATGAAAACCTTTTTCCGTTTTGCATTATGCAGCGGTATGTGAGCAAGTTAGTATTTGCGGTAACATTCAAGATCTCATGTTATATGTAGGTGCCAAGCTTGGTTCAACTCTATGCTATGTGGGAGCATCCCTGTGCACACCCACATATCCAGTGAAGGATTTCTTTATAACTTCTTTCTGAGCAGTCATTCATTTACCACTACAGTGATATTGAGTATAAGAATCTATGCTATTTTCAGCCGCAATCGACCAATCTTTGTCTTCGGTATCGTCACGTTTGGCCTGAAGCCTACCGCCGAAATCATCATGGGTGGTTTTATATTCTATCATCTCAGAGGTGAGCAAGTGTTGCTTTTTTTGGTTGTACCAGTCGATCTTACGCTTGTGCGCTCGTACAACTTCCTCCCTCGTATACCGGCTGCATCCCATTCAACATCCAACCATGGGCCTGGATGTTCTGGATACCTAGGGTCACCTATCATACCGCAATGTTTGCCATCACTCTTGTCAAGCTCGTGCGTGAGGTACGCGCTTCAAATCCGACTCCGCGTGTGATGGTCTTGCTCCTTCGAGATTCGGCCACATATTACATCAGTACATGCATAGTAATTTTGCTGAATATATGCATATGGAAGATTAGAGTACGTTACCTATTGATGCTATTTTCACAACCCATCTGAAATTTCGTGTCATTTTTTTGCAGCCGTCGCTTTTCCTGGCATCCCTGCCGTGGGCGCGTCCTCGTGTGTCTCGCCTGTATCAGCTAACGTCTGTATCAGGACAATTATGATTACACTCAATATCACGGGTTACAGAATGCTGGTAGGATTGCAGTGTCTTGGTGTTTTACTTTACTCACGTCCGCTGTAGTTCAACTTACGGGAGGAATTCCTTGCACACAGTGATTGGCGCACATCTCAATCGTCCATGAGCTCTTGTGACTTTGCGACATTTGATAGCATTGCTCCAACCGTAGAGAAACATTAAGTTATCTTATTTGAAGAACATTCAAATCGTATGGGAGAAAAGACTCGTCAAGTCCAACTTTATCCCCGCGTCCCCAAGCTTCAACTTGGGATCCAATGGAATCGCTCAGATCTCACACATATGTCGTGTGGCGTTTTGGGTTAAAGTCTGTTCTCGGCTCGGTCCACCTGATATCGTAATGCTCATAATATCCGCAGCCCGGGTTTCTCAGACATTCATTATCTCGGCATTGTTCAAAGGGCATAATCATTACCGTCCACATAATTCGCTTAAATGAGCACGAGTTGCTCTGTAAGAAATTGACTACGCCATAGATCTTAGTGGGGACTCGCATTGGGAAGCCTAATCTCCGTTGTGGCTGGATAATCACAACAAAGGATCATCTCTTAAGGGTGTGGCTGGTGCGTACATATTGCATATAAAAGGTGGCTGGTTGTCACTATGCTCTCGCCCGCATTTAGCTGCGATGCCCGCCCTCACATCTGCTAAACCAAAGCCTGATGATTCGGAAGTTCTTTCCGCAATTCCACTCCATCTCTCACCGCGCCTTAACTCCCGGGCCCACTTACCAAGACGTCCGACAAATCGACCCTCGCCTCTAGGGAGAGTCAGTAGTGTACCGTCTAAAGAGCGTGAATTGCCCATCCTCCCTACCTCAAATAGACGTAGATACTCGTGAGCTGATAATTTTGAAACCTCGCTGCGAATGTTTGACAACTTGCCATAGATCACCCAGCAAAGTCGTCTGGAAAAACAAAGAGAAAATACTACAAAATAGCGAGTCAGAAACGTCCACGAGCACAGATGGTGATGTTCAGAGCGTGGAAGTGAAGAGCCCCGAGTAGGTTGGATTATTCCCTTGGAGATATCTTGGCTGAACCTATAGTAGGTCTACTTCTCCGGTACTTTGTTCTCAATCTCCATTGTGGTCAAAGCCTAGTAATGCGCCCTCCCCCAAACGCAGTAAATCGAAAAGCGTTTTTTCCAAGAAACTCAATATCTCAGACAGTGAGTTTCAATGCCTACCGTCGCTACTTGTACGCTAGACATTATCCACAGGTAGCTTAATCACAGAAGAGGATGGACCACCAGAGATAGATTTGGACCAACTAGAGGAGGAATATGGCATCTGGAAGGCTGACATGACGGAGTTCATATCGAACCTTCAGACCTCTTGGGATTCCGCCACGCAGGAAATTTGCTCGGATATTTCGTCAAGATTTCAAATGGACGCTGAACAGCTTGCATCGGACTTCCAGAAAAAATTGGGCTTCGTCAAGTGAGCTGCGATCTGTCGACACCAGAAATAGAACATCCGCGCGCGGAATCACTTCGACCCTCCCAGTCGCATAGCAACTGTTGATATCATTTGAATTCAAAAACAAATTCACCAGTAACTTTAAGAAAGTGTAGTGTCGGATAATTCATTGTAAGTATCGTGAGGGGCACAGTGCACAAGATGTGTTCATCCATCCATCTGCTTACAGCACCAAAGCTGACGAAGAGCCATGAAGCATTGGGGTTATTCACGTTCATATTTCGACCTCATTGTTGTCAATCGACCGTCAGGTTGTATCCGAAAACTGACGAATGTGCGCTGCGTCATGGACGAGTGGACGAGTCTCGGCAAGCACACTAGAACGAATCCCACCTCACATCATCATCGAGGGGCTGCTAACCTTGCTTACTAAAACCAGCTCATCTCACCACTTGTACAGATTGCGTATGTTGTAACAAAACATTCGCCCATCTCCTCAGTCACCGTGGTTCCCAAGCATGATAGTTATGCATTTCACGCATGTGACACATCAGAGCAGCGAGACAGTGCCACAATTTTACCAGCGTAAATTGGGGATATCATTCCCCCAGACCTGACTATAACAAACTTATCTCGACTTCCTTGTACACATACACTGATTGTTCGTGTGCGACGGATTCCCACTCGTTCTGTCCGCGTGTATCCAGTGCTTTTACTTTGAGAAAGTACCTGAATGTGATAACGTTGTCGAATGCCCATGCAACCCTAGAGATCCACTGAATAGAGTTTCCCAGGCGTAGCTGAAAACGAAGGACTCACACTGCTCCGAACCCCAGTGTCGGCTTCTGATATTACATTGTTTAGTATGGATATGACGAAGCCGAACAACATACGGATTGACTTACGTGCCCCGGAAGGCTCAGGATCAACTGAAACATTCGCAGGCCTACAACCAAACGGTCAGGAATAAGCCATAGTAGACATAAGCAATACAGCTGACCAAAACAAGCCTTCCAATCATTTTAGCATTCATATGCACATTGACTGTTTACCACTCGGAAACCACTCACCAAGAAAACATTGACGCCATCTCGAAGCAACCTAGAAACTATCTCAGAATCTGACCTGCGAGGTGTTTGTAACGCATTCAGAACCATTAGACCGACAGCGAAGAGGTCGAACAAAATCTTGGTTCAAATGTAAGTCCACGAGTATGAAAAATTTGGACAATGGATTCACCAATCCACCCCACATGCCAACAATGAAACTCGACCCAGATTGAAGGCAGGTCCGCATAGCTGACGAATACGTCGTGGTATCTAATCTCAGTCAGCGATGATTACGCCGACTGCAATTCAGAAAGAGTCACCGAATGTCGTATGGAGAGTCACGACAGCAAAGGCAAATGAGATACCGAAGCACACGATAAATCCGACTACCAATGCATGTCTCATTGCCTTTCTGGATTCCCAGAGGGAATATGCACACAATAAAAGAGCGACTATATATATGGATCAGAGAAGCACCCAACGGAAACAACACCGGTACTACTCACACTGCGATGTCGCACTGTTGATTAAACAGTACACGCTAACGATCACAGAAGAAGCTTGACACCTGCAAAATAAGATCTGAGTGGACACCAAATGTTATAGGATGATGGCGTCCTACATCTAGCCCGCTTACTTTGAGCTCAAAAGCATCATATAAAGAAAGAGTTACTCACTGCAGCGGAAACACCTAGCGAAGAAGATGCATTCACTGGAAACATCGCACAATAATTACGATCTAATCAAATTGCCCCAGACAATGGACAAGACTCACTGTACGCAAGAAACAGTAGACTCGCCTCTCCACCATATCGATTGCAAACGAGCAGGATCTGCAGCGCAGACCAAGGCTGCAACCACACACATTGTATTTCTTTCGCCAAGTTTAACGCATGGTCCCACAGCGACACAGTGGCGGCGGCAGCTTATATGCCACGTTAAGACCGCTTTCTCCCGCGCTGGAATCCGCAACTCACCCGACAAATACCGCGTTGCCAGGATGGTGTTCACTATAGAAGGAGGGATCAACATGACAGAGCAACAGGGTGTGTGTGTGAAAGAGCAGAGCCCTCACAGGCTCTTATAGCGCAGCGGTGGTCAACGGGGAGTATGCAGTGTCTTGGGAAGAGGCATGCCGCTAATATCAGTGTTCCGTGTACCACGTACGCGTCAATGAGGGTTATTACCCTACTCACGAACGTTATTGACATGTGCGCCAACTCTGGTCGAAAGCCAAGTGATCCCCGAGGCCCCCAGCCGAAGAGGATAGATACGTACGGTGATGATCGTGATGAAATCAGCATTTATAAACCGAGATACGTACGGTAGTTGCCTCAAACGTGCTCAGCGGTGAAAGTAACATCCTGGTTCAGTCAGCGGTCTAAATTTTTCATCCTGGAATCAGCATCGACTGCTTGCTGGTTTAATACCACGATTGACCACAAATATTAGTGGCTTTCAAGTGGTGGATGAACGGCGCATGAGTGGGAACCGCGGTGGACCTGTTGTCACACAGTAAGTGACAGTTGACGCACTGATCAATGGTCGTGTGAGAGATATATCGGATAAACGCTGGAACCGCAACAATCGAGACGCCATTCATCACAACTTCGCGGATGCTATAGTGCACAAAATATTCGAGTTCGATGGGTAGATTCATCGAGTAATCCCTGGTTAGGAAAAAACAAAGAGTAGATACAAGGGGTTAATAAACACTCACTTCAACTGTCTGTACCACGGAATTTCGATGACAAATTTGAAACGTTGATGTATTCCCATGCACGGCATGATAGATCCAATCGCCAGAACCTACAGGTCTTCGTGATTTGTCCAGTTATGCTCCAGGCTCACACCAACGAACGCTAAATGATTTAAACATCTACCCCCTAAACCAATTATCGCAAAGACCTTCAACCCCATATTTGACATGGGACAGCGAAGAAGATTGGAGCGTCCAGGATTCGAGTATCTTCCGACGATTCAAGCCTAAAATCGAGTAGTATAAGGATAACACCAATGTACACTAATTCCCCCAAAGTCGCAAACAAAATATGGGATGTTGAATGAGTAGACGATACGAGACTGTCCTGAAATGCATGTAGAGCAATAACGAGCTAATGTTGCGAATAACTTGGATAATCAAAGGTCCGTGCGGTCACCTGCTAAATAATTTGAGTGGAATCTCCCTCGCTATATGCGGGTGGTAACTCTGCCGGAGTCGTTGATTGTACTGATGGAGACGGAAGACCCAAATTCACAAATCCAGGAGAGGGGGGACGTGCCGTGCTAAATGGTTCTGTCCGTACATTTTTCCGCGATCGACCACCAGCTTGAGGCCAGGTATCCTGCCTGGCCGTATAATCAACATCACCGGCAAGACTTTGAGGTGGCTCAACAGTAATTGTACTCGGCGCAATAGGTGTGATTATTGGAACAGTTTCCATCGACTCGCGCGAGGATGTTTGGTGCGCGCGTTCGGAGGATGTGATGTATGGAACTGGGAGGAAAGGCTTGAGGTCTAAGTAGAAAATGCCTGTTCAGCTATGCCAGCCTCAAAATTTCATGATACACGCACCGTCATCCACAACACTATGATAATCTGCCCCATTTCCTCTCCGTCTGCGGTATATGAAGATCATGCCGAGTAATGTCATCACTAATAACGCCAGGCCGCCCACCACACCCCCAACTACCGCGCCCATTGAATCCGTTGAAGAGGTGCTGATGTTTGCCATGGCCGATGATGAAGTTGAGGGTATCGCCATCGATATGTAGGTAGCAGTGGGTGAATTAGATGTCGTCGCAAGGAAGAAGAAGTCTAAGAGAAACGGGTCGTTGCCTCCGTCAACTGAAGTGACAGTAATTGTCAGTGTATGTTCTCCATCGGATAGGGCGTCTGAGGTGAAGAACAACTGGCGGTCTCTACGCTCGGTGATGTTTAGAGGAGGAGTATATGTTGAAGGGGACGCGCCATCTATCGAGTAAAGAGTAGTCGGAGGAGTTGTTCCGTTTGCGGGGAGGACGGTGCCCACCACACCTAATAAAATAGCTATTTTCACGTCTAGTATATGCAGGAAAGAGAGAGGCAAATTGAACCCTCACCGCTGAAATTCCAACTCAAGGAACAGCTCGTGCTGGTCGCAGACGTTAATGTCTGATTCCACACCTGCTCATTGCCGGACAACGTATAGTGTACCCATGGTCCCGAGTAGCGGATGTCAGCGGGGCTTTGGTCGTCAAATACGGCATAGCTATTGATCTCGCTGAGTACCGACATTGATAGTGTTCCGGATCCGGGGGAAGAGTAACAATCGCCTGCGGTGCCACTGAAAGTCGAGGTGGAACTCGACCCGGAGGGCAAAGTCGGTCAAGTATAAGTGCGTATTCAGCTCAGTTAACCAAGTCCGAGTTGTCTCACATCAGGGAGCCGCCGGCGCCCATCACTAGCGGGAGCAAAACTTACTCGTTTCACGGCAAGGTGTAATGTACTAATCTTGTTGTTTACCTAAGAATCACTCAACCAAAGGCGCGGGTTCCACGAAGTGAAAGCAGAATCTTAGCCAGTAATCGGGAATGATATGGAATGCTAAGTTACGACAAAACTAGTGACTATTGTTGAGGAGAAATACGACGATACATCTGAGGTATGGGACTTCCTTGGGCAACACTGAGCGACAGGTAAAATTCATGACAATGGAGGCACCACACACTAGGGGCTGGGGAGGTGACAAGGGCCGAGTACCTAGAAGGTTTCCTCCTCATCAACGGCTACTTGGTCTGGTACTTCAAAGCCCTCCTGCACAGCCGATCAATGATCACCAAAGACTGGAAGCACAATCAAGACCGACCTCTGTTGAATACAAGATTTTCTGGATATCCCGGAGTACGAGGTCATCTTTACCCTCTGCCTCAAGCACTTCCATTTGCTGCTGAGCAAGGATCTCGATATCGCGAAGCTATAAACAGACATGTGACAGCAATTAGTTCAGCGAGACAGGTTTCAGGAGTGGAGACCTTAACAGCAGATAGAGACACAAGTACTCACCTTCGCGAAGTAGAAATCACGCTCTTTCTCCAAGCCTTCCAAATGAGCGGACATCTCACGCAGTTGGGCCTGCAGGTTTTGAACTAGTTCATTCGGCTGCGTCGAGCCAGCACGATGTCCACCGATCGGCGTTCGACCTCCGGCTCGGGATCCGCCTGTATTCAGAGTGGCCGCATTTCCGCGAGAGGATGAGGGTGCAAGTGGCGCAATCGTCGCGGGAGGATCGGCGGGTGCTCCTCGCCGACGGCCTACTGGATCATAGCCCTGACCACCATAGTTTGTGTCCCAGTATCGTTTACACCATTGCAGGAACTCTAAGTTGTCTCTATCCGTGAAAAATCACGATACAAAGAGCGTCAGTCACAGCGTGCACAATATGTTACGCCAACCACACGCACTGCATTTTGCATTTAACCAACTTCTCTACGGGAATGGGCTGTCATTTTAACGCTAAGTACAAACGATCAACAAGGATGCGATAACATAAACACACCTTCTCGACCTTGTGCGATCTAAAGATGTTCTGCAAGACTTTGAAATTGGCGATAAACTCGTACTCGTGTTTTGCGTTCATCTTGACTCGTGTCATTGGCACATCACCTATTTGCGTCAGTACCAACTATCGATGTTACCATTCTGCAGCGCATTCTACGACCTTGGTGGGCACCACTGACCAAAGATGGAGTCCATAACCTGGCAATATGCGCCACCGGTCCCGCATTGCTCAACTTTCGTATAATTGATCTGAAGGAGATCGTTCAGCCAGGCGATGAGCTCTGTGCGTGATTCTCCCATGTCGAAACGCGTCGGTCGCGACAAGAAACAGTGGGCGGCGCGTGGAAGGTGGACGTTGGGATAAGGATCAAGTCGACGAACAAATCCTGACTTAACGTCAATATTTCACGAAATAATTATTAATTAGTCCTTGATCAATAATACGAACTAACTAAACTAATAGCTTGAAAAGACTATATAGAGTGCGTTAATATATTATACAGACAGCTTTAGCAGACAGCATACATGAACAAAAATCGAACTCATAATTTCAGAGTGAGCGCTCACTTCCTCCGCAACCTTCATCTCAGCTTACAGTGGGTAGTATTGATTTAGCCGGCCAGAGATCTCAATAAAAGTGTGAGCATATATTCTTCTACTACATTGGCTATGGTCTCACTGAAATTCTTCGCCGCTCAGTCCTGTGCCCTTGGAAGGAGAATGGCAGGACTTCCGGCCGAAGTCTGCAGCCAAATTGCTCGTTACACAGCGCAAGCAGACTTGGTTTCATTATGTCGCGTCTGTAGAGCTCTACAACGCCCCGCTGAAAGCGAGCTTTACGAAAATCTCGTCTTACGCGACGCCCTAGTAGCATACCAGGCATATCTAGCCCTCGTCGCCAACAACGGCATCCGCGGCACATACGTGCGGCGCTTTTGGTTTCTACAAGACGTTCGGCGCCGTAGCATTGGCTTTCTGCGCTCTTCAAAGTTCTGGGAGGCCCTCCAAGCCGCGCTCATCACCACAGTTAACCTGGAATATCTGTACATTCTCGATCCGTCTGCGCGTAATGCGTGGATCCTGGACTCTCCCGATTTTAAATTTCAATTGCTTGAAGCCAACCTCCACATGGCCTGGGACACACATATGGTGGCGTTTCTCCAGGGTCAACGCAAGCTACGCTTTTTGCATGTCAAGGATTCGCTTGACGAGGGGCCGCTTTGCGCCCTTGGTCCCGATAGCCTGCAGTCACTGGCGCAGTTCAGTGGGCCTGTGTTGGTTTTGGCTGAGCTCCTTGCATGCCCGCTCACACACGTGCAGATCGCTTTAGAGGAAGAGACCACCGCGGCATTATTGCCCACGGTAGTTTCGGACCTGGGCAGGGTCATGAAAAATCTCCGCAGCCTAAACGTGCTATACTGGCCCGAAGTCATCCTCATCGAGACCCTAGAACTCATCTCAGTATCCGTGTTCGGACCTTCGCTACGGTACCTCGGGACCATCTCGTATCCAATGATGGATGTATGTGTCCGTATACCTATGCATCTGGGACCCGTCTGACTTATATATCCACAGCGCCACGATATACACCGGTGCCTGGTACCCATGCGCAATCTTGAGATAATCGACTTAGATTTGACTGCATGGATGCCCCCTCCGATAGACATCTTCCAGCGCATGCTCGCCACGGAACTTCGTACATTCTGCCCTTCCTTGAACTATATTTTGTTCTGGGTAGGTCATCAGCAAAGCGGCACGATACACGTGCTCTGGTCCTATCAAGATGAAGAGTGGGTGGCGCAGTCCGCTAGCCGTTCTGGAGAGCATCTGTGGCGCAACGTTTGAGGTGTTGTCGCTAGTAGTCGTTCCAACGCGGTTGCAGCGCATTACGGTGCCACGGAGCAGTTGTGGATGGAAAAACGGAGCATCTGGACCAATTCTAGTAAAGTGTGGCGGTGGTTATAAGCCGGTTGGTGTGATGGGCGGCGCCGTCTTCTGGCGGCTCATGTATGTGGACTTGTGTCCGCGTGTCCTTGCTAGCTGACAAACCGAATATCCAGCGTGTGGGCGTTCTTTCTTGCAGATATGTAGTTTTCGGTATCGATACAGCTGCTCGGCTCGCGGTGTTTATTTGACTCGTGCGCGATAGATCATCTGCACGATGACCCGGAATCCGAGTGAGATCTCGTGTGATACGACGCATCGGAGCTGCAGCTCTAACAACAGCTTGGTTCCCATCTCCCATCTCTGACACTCTGGGCCGAGCAACCATCGTCGTGGACGGCATCCTAGAACACGTTCATGTCGGATCTGTCTCTTCCGCAGCGCTGATGGCTCAAGGCAACCTGTGGTCCAGCATTCGGAATCCCCCGTGTGGGCCCAGCTTCACCATATCAGGCGGTTAACTCTGTGCTTTGACATACTTGCCGGCCCATGGCGGTCGAGGTACCCTCTGATTCCGTCTCATTTCCCTGTCAGGGAAGGTGCAGCGGCTGACAGTGGCGTTTTCATAAAAGCCCTCTCCGTGGCTCAAGCTATTCTCCCCAATCAAAGCATACCCCCAGCCCTCAACATAAATACTCTCATGGTTGCGCTATCCCTCTGCTCGTGTATTTCGGCTCCGTCATTCCTATCCCCAACGTCGTCTTCACCATCTCAGCGCCACTTGTCATTGTACTCGCCACCGAACATGTCCTCGACGCGTCTATCCGAGTCAGCCACTCAGCCGGTGCCCTCTATCGCGGCACTCCCTAGTCTTGCGCATTCGCTCTCGTCCCTCGCGACAATGACCTCTGTGACGAAGGATATGGTGCACTACGGCACCGTGAGTCGGGCGAAAGATGCGAGCAAGGCTAAGGTACGCACACCACTGTGTGGCACCTACCCCAGTCCATTCGATCGTTCCACTCACCACTGTGCCCATCTCCCAGCTAACTACCGCACTTGAGAGGACAAAGCAACGGCAAGGAGTGAGCCCCAGTGAAGAGGTCGGTGTTCTCCCGTTCTCTGATCTTCGTGGGCATCCGTCAAACCCTATTTTGTAGACCCACCCGCAGCGCTCGCCACATCCCGCAGCGGAACCTACGGAGGAGGAAGAACCGGTGCTTATGATATCAAGAAGAAAGCACAGGGTGAGGATGCTGTACCGCATTGCCCCCGATTGCACCGTATTGAGCGAACGTTGATCAGACAGAACGTGCGACATGACCGTCATGACCATCTGAATGCCTGCATCCGAAATTTTACGACATATCTATTGCCACCACCGCACGTTATTCAAATGTTCCAAGCTTCATAATTTGTCTTTATGCCCTTGGTTTCACCCAGCCATCACATTAATACGGCTTCGGGCTTGCATCATAACGTTATTTCATGACTAGTCAAACACAGGGTATATCAGTAGCGGGATTCATTGTAGCAATCAATATATAGGATTTGCAATGCAAGCAGGATAGCAATAGTCCGAGACCTTCGAAAACATGCAGCACACCGAGCAATTTCCTCGCCCTTCATTCACCAGCAAACAACCGGACCAAAAGATAAGCCGTCGAACCGACAAAGCGGACGACTGCGTGGGATGACTTAGCCGGTGAACATGAATTTCATAATGAAAACACTCACACGCAAGACCGGCGACAGAAAATAGGATAAAGGCCATATACCCGTCAACGGTCGCTGTCGCGCCCTTATCAGACGCTTTACCCGTTAGCGTTCTATCACGAGGCATGAGTAGGCCATAAGACGTTTTAGACATCATTATCGCTCACATGATAATCGCTGCCAGTAGACCCTAAATGGTTCGAATGAGCACATTGTCTCGTCGAGATAAAACTTGTGGCTTACATTTGACAGTGTCCACGATAACAGCACCTGGAGCATGCATGTCAGTGAACTCAAACTCACACTAGGTTATATCTGTGAGGCTTCACGTACACTGAGCAAGCAGTAGTCAGCACTAAAATGTCTGTAGTCGCGATACCACCCACTTTGTCCTAAAACCTCGATAGTAGTCCTCCTGTTCGGTTTGGGGGTCGGGCTTGGAATCCTCCTTGGGTGGTTTTGTCTGGAGAACATGGATGGCATCGTCGTATGCAGCATTGATATCCGTTTCTGCGGTTGGTACAGCGACTTCGACTTCATTCTTGTTCTTCCCAGTCGTGACAACTCCTAGATCCGTGGAAACTTTGTTATCCCCCTTGGTACCCCACGAGACATCACTAAAATTGAGTATAAGCCCAAATATGCAGTTAGATCATCCTCGCGACATACTGGACGTTCGCAAACTTGTGTAATATATGGTCAGCTGAGTTAATATAAGGAAAAGTAGACACATACTGCGTAGACGTTGAGCACCGCGATATATGATGGCGCCATCAACAGGTACTGCAAGAAGGACGTGATCATATGCCATGGCTCGAACTAGATTGGTCCATCAGGAACAGTGTCACCGACTGCAGCCCACGAACGAGACCTACATGAATGAGCGATGCCAATATGTATAGCCCGTATGTGGACAGGACAGACAACACAATGTCCCGGAAAATGGCATTGCCGAACAGGGACGAAACAGTCAAGGGGCCATCGGCATGAATAACGTTCTGGATCCCCTTCACGGCAAGGAAGAATGCTGCGGCCTGCCACGGAGCGGTCAGTCTTTGCCCAATGGCGTTGCCGTCGCATCACTCACGGTCATATACACTGTGATGAATGCGAAGCCCACAAATGCTAACGTGTAGCCCCATTTCGCACCCTGTGGCCTGTTACCGAGTGACAGTAGGAAACACATGATCAGAAGACCGAGGTAGAAATAGTTCAAGATGGTGTTGACGACTGAGATAGCCGTGCCTAAATGGAATGATGGATCTTCCAGCGCGTCGCTGAGGATGATGAAGAAAATATAGAAATTGCCCTAAGCATTATAAGATGAGCACGCATAAAATATACAAGGGTCGAATACCCACCAGAGAAAACCATGAGAACAGCAAATTGTATGTTTGATAAATAAATTCGACATGAATCCAAAACTTGCGCAAGAGCGTGTGCGACGACCGGTAGATGTAGTGAAACTTTACTGTGCCATGGATTCCCGCGAAGAACGAGCCATTCAGCCATCGTCGTCGCTGAGAGATAAGCTCGGGGACCTATTGCAAAGTAAGTATTCCTCGCCAATCAGCGCTCAAGGTGAACCTTCAGACTCGGTATCACTAACCTGATCGGGTACATCGGTTACTGCATAGGCAGATTTGACGTAATGCAAGATCCATGCGCCGCCCCGCTTCGAGACTAGTTCCCAACATAGAATCTAAGATGACCAGGATCATGAGTACTCCGTGCAGACGATCGGTCGTCAGCTGACACACGTACTCGATCTTCTGCCAGGTACATATTTGCCGTGAAGATATCTGCTCCAGCACCATGCTAGCAAAGAGGTTCCGATGAGCAAATGCGAACGTAAACCCGGTCACCTCACGTACCATTTTCTCACCAAGGAAGTACTTCTGCAACGGACCTTCACCCGTGTGATCATTCTGCAAGGCAATGTATCGGTATGCACTAAAAGCACCCGGCAGCACCGTTATAAAACCGAAGATCGATTCACTTATAACGCAAAACGCTTTCAGTAAGTTATTGATCCATCATCTGGATTACGTACAGAGGCTTGTCAAGGATGTTGGACATCTTGTACTCAAAGTTTTGAGCAGCAACTGACAGACGAATGTCAACACACTAGAGGAGGAAAATAGAGATGGCTCACCAAGAGGGTTAATCAAGTTTTGCCCATATTTGCCTTTCAGAGCAACAATCTCACCACATGCTCCGCCTACATTTGAATTGATATCAAACGCCTTCCACAGGTGGTAGATGGATGTAGGTCCGGGCATGGTTCCCACATCCAGCAGCACACACACATTAGGCTGGAGGATCGGACCGAAGGCATTGAAAAACCACCGATGCGAGTTGATCTTCTTCTGGTTCTTCTCCTTCAGGCAGAAAATGATCTGCACGGGAACAATCCCCTTCTCTGCGCCCTCCAGCTTCATTGAGGGCGAGACGGAGACTATCGAAAAATGAGCACTCATGACCAGGCAAGTAGTGATCACGCACTTTGAGCTGTGTACTCATAGATATGTGCGGTGACCGGTTTCCCGTTCACAATGTTCTACGGCGCGTCAGCCGGTGCAGATTTATGACACGAGTATGACACACCTTCGCAACACCTTCTTGGTACGCCCCCATCGCCGCAATCACGCTCAGCGTCCTCGAGTTGATCTTCTGTCGCCCGTCCGACACGATGCACACCACGACCTTCTTCCACCCATCCTTCCCCCATGTCTTGCTGCGGTCACGCTTGCACAGGTGCGCGATGTTCTTCATCACACCATGCATTGTGCGGCAGAACAGTTCCTCGTCCTCGTTGTACATGGTCATCACGATGAACAGCTCCGTCCGTCGGGGCGGATCGTATTGCACCTGGCGCAGCGTGAAGCCAGAATCTTTGAAATCGTTCGGGTCACAGGTCGCCGCAGAGTACCGCATATGCGTGAACTCGCGCTCGTTCTGCAAGCCGCACATTTTCAGCAGTTTCGTAGGCACGGCCGAGTCCAGAACAAAGTTGCCCTGGAACAGCCTGCCACACTTTGAGAATAGTCTTAATTGTGAGCCAAGAAGAGGTACTCACTCCACCTTTTTGATCGTCTTGTGTCGTCGCGGAACACGTTGTGGAATTCGACCGTACCTGATGTTCGTCTCCTCATCCCTATCCTCCTGTCCCACAGCCGCGTATTCACCTGGTATGGGCAGACTTGCCGACTCCAGGCTGTGATTGCGTCGCAGCAGCGGATAGTCTCCAGCATCGTCCAAATCCTCATCTGGATCATTGAATGCTTCCGTAGAGGGACCCGAATCGTATAGCGATATAGGAGAATGCTGAATGTGGACGGGTGGAGGAGTGACGCTGTGCATGTTGCCATAACCAGGATTCAGATAGTCCGCCGACTGCGCATGGAGCAAGGGCGGTGATCCTGGGTGTATCGGCGGCCCTAAATGCGGAGGAGGGGATATTGAGTGCGCGGGATTCGTGAATGGATTAAGAGGCGGTGGGGGCGAGTGGTACATGCTAGGATGTGGAGGAGATTGTGACCCTACGAATGGCATGCTGGGATCCGCGTGTAGTGGCTGGAAAGGCTGGTGCTCGTGTTCATACGGAACGGGCGTCGGCTGAAGCTCGTACTGCTGCTGTGGATGGTACTGAGACTCGTAGGGATTCGAGTAAGTTGGATAGGGACCGTGACCGTCGTTATAGTGGCCATACTGGGCCTCGTCTGCCTGGACAAGGGTAAGGTGCAGGTCGAGAGCGACTATCTCAGACTCACCTCTGGATACCTCGACATCGTTGCTAGCCAATCGTCCGCCCTATCAGAATAGCCTGTATTTGTGGTTCTCGAGTGTCAAGGCTGTGTCAAGGCTGTGAGTACTGCGCGAAACACTGGCATCACACAGCTATATACCTGAAATCTCCTAATCCGTGGTGAGACCGTGTCACCCTCGAGGCTGCGTGCGCTGCGCAGTGTAATTCGTAGAACGTTCAAATGATACCGCACTTGACTCGCTCGGATCGTATACAAGGGCCGTGGTCGTAATAAACAGAAAGAAAGGGGGTCGCTGCTAAGAGAACTGCGCCCGGACTTGCGGTCATAGCGACGGAGTTACCTGATAAGGCAAATCGCTGACCATCGTATTCAAGTGTCAAGTCGCCACATCAGCTTGTAACACGGAGGCAGCGTAAGAATATCCAACAAACGCAATTAGATTGGGATATCACTATAAGCAATACAGTAATAAAGAGGATAGGCTGTTCGTCAGAAATAGCAGTCGTGAGCAGTCATGCAGTCCAATATCATGCAACTGTGTACTAGTCTTGGGTCATGAGTCAATACAATACAGTGATATTTCTGAAGTCTATACTCGAGCCGACCACTGACGGTCAATTTTCAGGCGTGCACCAAGCATGCATAATGATCCAGTCATTAAAGTTGCACCGCTGAGGATGATCATTCCTGTGTACGATCCGTGATTGAACTTGAGCAAAGCGCCAGCAGCAGGGCCGCCTCCAAGTGATCTGTGGCCAATATCATCATGAGCGGAACGCGCGTTGGGGCAGGAGGTAATTCAACTTACGGGAATGAAATAATGGTGTATAGCATCCCCACCCTCGTTCCAACCTCCTCGACATCGGATATTTGTGCAATACATGATACGATCAACGCGTTGAATCCGCCCGAGAAGAAGCCAAACAGCACCGAAAACAGGATAATCGTTGCCAAACTTCGCGCGGATGTCCATAGGACAAGCGCCAAGAGCCCGGCCAAGAAGGCACAGGGAACGATGAGGTTGAACCTGCCGAACGCGTCGGAGAGAAATGGCGGCGCAAGCCGCCCCGGGACGCTCCCAGCGTTCATGATGGCCAGAACATAGAACGCAGTCGTGGGAGAGACGGACTGTGCAATCGCATAATCAACGATGTAGAAATTGGGAATAAAGAGGCCTGAAGCACGAAATCATGAGCGGCGGCGCTCCGTAATACCGAGGGCGCGCGGATGTACTCACCAAATGAAATGAATATACTCGCGACAACCGTGAGCACGAAACGGGCGTCATAGAACATTCCGGAGTTAAACCAGGGTCTGACACGGCGTCCTGCAGGTATCCGGCTGGTGACCGTCGCTAATGCAACCAGGCATAATGCGAGGCAGACGAAACCAGATATGCGCACGGCCCATCCGAAGCCTACCTGCAAGAAAAGACGACGGAGCATGATAGGATAAACGACACCACCTAGATCGCATGTTCAATCAATAGTGGTTCACTCTATCAAAACATTGCTCTCACCTAACCCAGAGCCGGCTATGGCTATCCCGAGGGCGGTTCCCCTGTAGCGGTGAAAATGGGTTGATACGGCGGCGACAGCTGGATAAAATCTAGAACACCAAAAGTCCACTTCGGATCCCTAGCGTAGGGAACAAAGGCTTACATCATGCCCACGCCAAGGCCAAAGAGGATGCCTTGACAGAGGATGTACTGGTAAAGAGCGGTTGATATGCTTGTCATCATTATGCTGAATACCAGGATTACCGTCCCAGGAATCATGAGGACTCTTGGGCCATGTTGGTCAAATAGTCGACCGACAAAACCACCCTGTACTAATTTGTTAGGCGCATGTAACGCGTGAGGAGCGTGGCGAGTCCTGACCGAAAAGAAGAACACCCAGAGCTGCAGAGATCCAATCCAAGAGATGGTTGAAGATGGTAAGTTGTGCAGCTGGTGTTCCGTGTACCATGATTGGAAGGTTCCGAATGAGTTTAGCTGTCCGAATGTGCAGAACAGGGCCAAGAACGCCCCGAAGACAGTAAGCCATGCTTTAAGCCCACCGTCGTGAACGTATTCTGCAACATCCTCGGTATGACCAGTCGACGCACTCGAAATAACACTCTCCCGGACTTTCTGTGACTCGACCATAATCGAGAACGTGCGAGTTTCAGTACAGAAGGGAAGGTGATGGTCCCGGAAAAGACATTCCAAGGCGCAACATGGAGGGCATCTTATAGCCGCAGTACGGAGGGCTGCAGGACAGCGGCCATCTAAAGCGTTGACAAATGGCCCGACGCCTGGAGACGATGGATCTCCATTTTGAGATACATCATTCAGGGTGTCCGGCGGCTCCGAACAATACACTCCTACCACATGCGGACGGAAAAGCCAAATTCAGGATACGATTACGGAATGACTCGATTTATGGTAGACCTGTGGAATAGCTTGAGATCCCAAGTGGTCCTCGGCTAAGATCTCGCGGCGTTCTGCGCAGAGGATAACGAGATGTCGGGAGACGCGGCGAGACTCCTTTTCGGTACGGAGAATGGTCGACCGTTTAGGCGTTGCCCGGTGCACAATTACGTCCAGCGAGTGGGCCCACAAAAATCTCGCCGTGCCGAAGACGAGATCTCGGATGTGGCCCACTGTGGAGGGAAATCGAGGCGCTAAAGACGCGATTTGGCGTCAAGTGGGCGGTGACTGCAGCGACAGTCTGTGCGAGCGTCCGGTCGGACGAACTTTAATTGTTCCTATTGTCCTATGTCAGCGGTCGACGACTGACCACAACTGGGGCACTCACATGGTCGACTCGGTCAAGCGTAAGCTGCGACATTACGAAAGACGAACGCATGGAGAACTCGAGCTGCGCCTTGCACCACATCGAATGCGTTGATCGCAACATCATATCCTCCTGCATCACAGACCGTTTGAGAAGGTAGGTGAGCTAAGACGCGCGCTCATGGCCACACCGCAGGCAGTCGTACGAAGCATGGGGCCGGTTGACACGGACTCGGAGTTGCTGCCATGTGCGCCAGCGAGCAGGTGAGTAGCATGGCGCCAGTATGGCTTTTACTTGCGCTGGGAGGGACGGTGATGCTGTTACTTGGTGATTTGGGCATAGTGCGCTGTCCTACTACGCATATTGCAGTGGGGAGGAAGAGGAGAATGCGCACAGTTGTGAATTTGTCTGTGCTGTAAGTGGTTAGACCGCCGCCGAGCAAAAGACGTCCGTCAAGTTTCCCACGGCTGTCTGTTCCAGAGTAAAGGAGTCCCTGGTCTGGATCCCGGAAATACAACTTCAATTCTACAATTCTCGCCATTCCAAGGGTTTCTGGTATTTGCCTGAAGCCAGCCACTCATGTCAGCTTCAACTGGCTCGAAAATAAGGAACCCTAGTACTCCACGCAATGCTTGCAGTTGCGATCTCAGTCAATGAAACTCAGTGATCCGATCATATTATTATGCAGGAACTTAGGCCTTAGCCTCATGATTCATCTACCATCAGCACCCGGCACCGCTAGAGCTTATGCGGGCCTCAAACTTCCATCTATAATTTACGCAAAGCGAGCACAGAGTGCGACATAACACCCTCAGGCTGGACTTTGCCCTTCCGCGCACATCCGCGTCTCAGTGCACAATGATATCAAGCCCCGATGTGACAGCAGAAGATGTGGTCTCTTGCGCCGCCCACGCGTTCCCGGGGATGGACTTTCCGGACCTTCTTAATGACTATCGTATAGTTCGTAATACTTGGTGTGAGTGGTACGAATTCTCTTCTCAGCGAAGCGTACTGACGACCTGTCTTCAGTACTATCTCTCGCCATTCTACTTTACGACCATGGTAAGCTCGGCCATACTCTATAACTTATTGTAATATACTCAACATTGCTAGCTTTAACGTTGTCTTTGGAGGTGAGCGCACTGTCCGATTACATTGTGATCTCGTTTCTTTAGACACACGTGCAGTTTGACTATGCATGGCGTCGACGATTCGACTGGACGCGATTGCCATTCTGGGTGGTAAGTCTGATGCAGCGATGTTGGGTATTGAAAATGACCGTGAGTGGCGATAGAATCGATATTGGCCGTATGTCCATCGCTTTGCCGTTTGCCGTCTAATTCACGTTTTGAGGTGTTCTCAGCCTTGTTCAGCTATTGTACGTCAGACTTCACTATGTCTTTCATGCACTGACCACCAGTATAGGTTTGGTAGCTTAGGTATGTCGAACGCTGGTAATGTTGCAACGCGGACATTTAACATTCCTGTTAGCTATGATGGCAATACCGAGCACACAGCCTCAGGTACGTACACTATTAGCTGCCGTGAGAAAGGCTAACAGTTATGTTAGTTGTGAGTCACTGGCTCGTTATCTCGTCCCGCAACGTAAAGCTAGATATGCATGACGACAGGTGTAGGTATTGGCTGGTTTCCTTGCCGTACATAAGCATACCTACCTGCTCGTGTATGAGCGGTAAGAATTCAATCTGGTTCACGAGCCGAGCGTCTTCTGATCATGTTTTCAGCGATCCTGGCATCCAGAATATATGCCATGTATGGCTGCAATCGACAACTTCTGAAGATAATGGTCGTCACGTTCGGCCTGCAAGTCATTTCCGACACCGTGGTCGGTGGGGTGGTTTTTGATCGCCTCGGAGGTCAGCTCCCACCGGCTTGGAGATACTGGGTCCTCTCTTAACTATGCATTCCGCAGTTATGCCGCTCCCCCCCTCGTATACCGGGTGCATTCCCTCTAATATCCAGTCTTGGTTCTGGGTATATTGGGTCCCAAAACTGGTATTCCAGACAGGAGTGTTCGCAATAACCGCTTTCAAATTCGTGCAAGAGCTACTTGATACCACCAAGACACCTCATATTATGACTGTGCTTCTGCGTGATTCGGCTCTATATTTCATTTGCTCGTGCTCCCTTGTAATAGCCAATCTATACATCTGGAAGACAAAGGTATGTCCTATCTTCCACATGCTCAATAATCCATTTAAACATCTGGTACAGCCCTCGCTCTTTCTCGCCGCCATACCGTAAGCCAAGTTCACATTATCGTCTCTAAATCATCACTAATGGGTTGACCATCCTCTGCATAGTATAACCACGGCGCTGAACTCTATTATGGGCTGCAGGATGCTGGTAAGCGCAGACTTGGATGAGCCTCCCGCGCTTGCTCACGACTTGACCGAAGTACAACATTCAAGAGGCGTTTCAAGAGATGTCTACTTTTTGCGTGTCTCAAGCACGCATCTCGCCTCTGCCCTCTCAGTCTGCCCTGTCCAGATCTGTCGCGATGTCGTCGTTGTCGACTCAGAGTCGGATAGACGAAGATAAACCATAACTGCCGCTGACCCATCCGAGGCTTCCATTCCGAACAACACTCGCATGTAGATAATTCGTTCGTACAAAAGACTCCATGGTGAACAGTGACTGTAAGGAGTAACGTACATACCGACATTCCGGGTATTCCCGCGGAGCTTATATCCTCTCATCAGGGGTCCTAATGCTGAACAGCCCTGGATCAGCTGCAAAAACTTGTCATCTTGCGTCCTTTTTTCATCACACAACTTGTTCCTCTTCTTCCCAAAGACAACTTGATGTGCAGTATATCTAGACTGAGAATCAGCCGCATTCGCTCACTTCGGTTCATGGTTCATGAATGAACTCACAAATGATCAATCAATCCACGTCTGGTTCGAGGACACGGACCATCACAGCAGGGGCATTGCCACCTGAGACCGCGCTCAGCACTCCGCAATGTAATGCCACGCTGCACAAGTCTACTTCTAGCCTTCTTGAGACGTTTCCTCAACATGGGAGGTTGGGGTGCAGCATGAGAATGTGAAGGTGGACCAATGTCGACGGCAGGACGAGGATCTTGATCCTGCACAGCGACGACATCATGTGACTCATTTTCCTGCAAGAGGGGCTTCCTCCCACACACACTCTAGATGATATCAACGATATTCAGTTCAATTTCGGAAGATTCCAGTATTTGAGACACTGACCGTCGCGGGGGCGGTGAACGGTGGACGGACGGACGACCGTGCGTGCGGCATCAGCTCACCGCGAGACTGTAAAGTTATCGGGTTCACAAGACCTTCGTGGAGAAGTAAGGGGACATAAGGTTCAGAAGAATGCACGCGAGAGTAGGGTGGATGTAGCATGGGTTGGGAAATAGTCACTCATTTCGATGTTATGCCAGTCGGTGGAAGCTGAGCATCCCAAAAGTGCCAACCAATGGAACAAGTCATTCTGTCCTCAGCATGTAACGGCGGCATGCCCTTGAAGTTGTTGGACAGATCGCCGACTAGCATTCAATATCATATGCATCCAACGGGTATATCTACATTACAATATTAATTATGAAGAGCGACTTGAATAAATTAATCTCGACTAGAGTTTCCTGGGAGAAGCTGTAGCTCTATGTAATCTCCACCACCGTTTGCGCTGCGCATCGTCGACATTCTCCTCCCTTGGCGAACTCTCGAGGAGGCAGCAGAGCGAGTATTTGTGGGAGACTGCCGCTGGAAGGTTATCGGGTGCGGAGATGCTTCTCCGTGGCTGTGAGTATCCGGGCTCATGGTGCGCACGTTTGCAGCGGCAGCCAGCGCTTCCAACTCTCTGCGGCGTCGTCTCCTCAGCTGACTTGGATAGCGGTATAAAGCGACGGTCAGGCTCCAGACGGGTGTAAGTGCCAGAAATAGCGCAGTGATCTGCCGCGAGTGCGATGAGCGAACGAGCGAGGGCCATTGGGTGAATATGGGGGAATAGGAGAATATACCTGTCCAAAGCCTCCAAAATTGTTCTCTCCATCGAAGATGCAGTTGATGCGGATTTGTAGTTCAGATACTGCGCGCCGGTCCTTGGTCAGCGCCTCAACACAGCACATTACATATACACTCACAAACTATGTACAAGATCCAGAGGCACGCGAAACCAATGTTCCCCCAGAAGATAAGCTGCTTCTTGCGGTCCTGCCACGGGGGTATAGATGCAATTGCAGTATTATATAGCTGCCTGTATACGGGAGTCGAAGCTGAGGTTTCGGGAGAGGAGAGCGTCGATCGCCGCGAGAGCGTCTTTCCCGCTCTAGTTCTACTCGACACCGACAGAACGATCGTCAGAAGCAGTGTGATTCCCAAACAAAATAGCAGCCAGAGGACCCAGACGTAGAACTTGTCGTCATTGATTTCTTGGGCAGTTAACGGCACAAAAAAGAACAGCAGTACGGTATTGGCGCTACATGCTGTCTGGCTGTAAGATGGAGAAACAAACATAAGAACTCCCCACGCCCACTGCAAAGTCACCTAACGGAAGGACGATCAGTCTCGCGAATGCCCATTGATGAACTACGCACTTGGATAAGAAGCGCCAGCGCGAGAATAGTCCGCTGTTTCATGTGAGACAGCTGTATTTGCTTCTTTCGTCTGTTCAAAAAGACCCCTCTCTCGATGATGTTCGGTGCTGACACGCTGTCGTTCATGGTATGTGCCGACGCAAAGAGTCGACCGCGTCTGAGCTCCCGAGCGACAAACGCACTGCTGTCCAAGCGCCAGACCGGCAAAATGGGTGCGATCGCAAGTGAGCTTATGCAGGATAACGTCGCGTAGCTGACGTCCTCGGATTAGTCGAAAGCCCCAGGTCGCTGTAATTGAGCTCATGCGTACTTGAGTACCAGAATTGCATGATGCAGAGTGATGTTCTGCTGCGCCTTGAGGACGAATGCCGCTATTATCAGCGCGGAAGTCAACAAAGTACCTGCCCATGCACTAGGTACTGAATCTTCGGGAGAGAAGATTACAAGCAAAGCTGTCAGGCGGGGATCAGTAATCACATTAGATGAAAAACAACTCAATCCTGAAGAAATCTCGCATATCTTCGGAAGAGAAACGCATTGTTTATCGACGTCGATGAATGCCCAGGCAACTCGAGGCAAGCCATCAATGCATCACACCCCACTCCTGCCCCATTTGAGTTCACATGACCTGGCGCTCATGGAATCAGAGGTTCTTGCGAAGCAGAGAGCGGTTGCGCACCGGAATGAAATGCCCGTGAGCAGAGATTGAACTTACTGTTGAACAAACTCTGTGCATAGAAAGCGGCTCGAACACCCACTCCCGCTAAATCAGTATTAGGACAGATAATGCACGTCTCGTTGGCGCCTAAAGGTAAGCCAGACAGGCACTGCTGGGCTTGCAGAGACGTGTTGTTGAGGACAGAGCTAGGTTGACTACACCAGGAGTACATGCAACAAAGTGATCATGCGTCGACGGCTTATAAGCGAGTGAATGGCGGGTACCTGTACGGCCGCAACCAAAGAATGGGTGATTGTCTGCCAGTGGTTTCGGGGCTGACTTTTCTCTTATCTTGGTGTCCGGAACTAGAGCGCCACGGCCAAGGATAAAAGCGGTTCAAGTAGTTAGCGCAGTCACATCACCCCTGCCACAAACCCTAATGGCTCGAATAGTGATGTTGCAAAGGTGAGTTGTAGCAGCGCCAAACCCACACGCGCAGCCTCAAGGCAATAGGAATGACTGCGCCAACATGGCCGGAAATATACATGATTTCAGGGAAGAAAGGAGTCGTCATCACTCATCAGATAATTACTCCATGACAACAATTCAACAACCCAGTGCTCACCATTGCAGCTTCGGGGACTCGATTAGGCACGCGCCGGTGCGCGCTCGCGCCGCCATCTGTCGACACGAACGGACTAGAGCAATAGAGCCTCGTTGACCACACAACCTGTTCCATCATTTGTAGATGAGATACGATTGCCAATGTGACCAAGCCGTCCTAAAACTTAGTAAGAGATACACGTCGCGAAATACTAGCCCGACACCAACTTGGAGTCAGTCTGATATGATGGAAACAGGGACAGATATGCTCACGCCACACGACTCCAGACTCATCCGTTTTCGTCGAGGGCATCTGAAAAAGGAAATCGAAGCTCGAAAACGAACGAGCTGCTTTCGCAGCGGAGTTCAAAAGTCAGAACGGCTAGGTACGAGCCTACCAGCCACAGGCGATCTGGAAGCTCGGGCGGTGTCCAAATCTGTCGACCTTGGGGGCAGTGTGGACACGTTCCCAGACGTGCGCGTCTGGTACAATTGAGAGAGACAACCCGCCTCGCCCCGCCTTCAAGCTCCAGCGACCAGATTTGCCCAATGGATACTCATCATTGCATACAAGCTTAGGTATACTAAGGTAACTCGCTCACTAAGCGGCTTCCGAGTATTATCGAGAGCCTGTCTGACTACAGCTGGCCTGTGTATCCATGAAGCAGACAGACAGACAGACATAGCATGGCACTTAGCAACAGACGTCTATTTGTATTAGGAAGATGAATGAATTGTATATAACTGTGAACCTGTGTCTGCACCTCTCTGTCTCGCAGTAAGCCGTACGCGTACGGTGACCAGTTTAGAGACGTTGACCCGTCTGTGGGAGGGACTCACTGGGCCAAGACTAATCACGATGTACTCACGATGGCACAAGCGTCGGTTTCACACCACACTTGTTGTGACTGTATTTGTATTATTCCAATGATTGGTCTCGTAGTCAGACGCGTCGTACATGTCTTTGACACGTCTGGGCACGAGACCACATCCAATAGTAAAGGCGAGGTTTGCGAACCCGACAAGAGGACGTCCGAGCGCCCCTCCCCCAGGAGTAACGGAAGGGACGAAAAGTCTAGCGGTTTACGATAATTGATCTACGCCAAATCATTCATCTAGCTCCACTTAATTAGCTTGTTTACAAGAAGCAACCCCACCGAAAAAGCCGTATTAGTGGCATATTGAGCGATACGCGCACATGACACATGTTTGAAGACTCATCGCATCCGAGTCCAAGCTTAATCCACCTGACAAGATTTCATCTAGTATCCCTCCAAGTGAATCTTCATGGGCACACGGGATCTATGTGAACGCTTTGGCTACGGGAAGAATTGACAGTCTATGGCAGCGCAAAATTACCCTGGACAGAATTGTGCGCATCGTGATGGTTGCGAGCAAACTTCCGTGTATTGAGCCTGGCCTACAACGAGCATGTGAGCTCCCTCAAAGGTTGTCGATGGGATCAAAACTCACATGACCATGAATGAGTCTAAGTGCACTACAGAGTCTCATGTGTGAGCTTGCACAGGTAACGAGAATAGCTCTCTACAAGTGAGTATATAGAGACCACGAAGACTAGCTCTTCGACGAATGCGGCTCTCTGGGCCATTATCAGGACCTGCCGCAAAATTGCTCAAGGCTGTATCCACCTACTGTTATAATGGATACAATAGGCAATACTGAAAGCTTCGTCAATACTCCTGCAACTTGACAAAATAGGACTATACCCTGTAATGATACCTGTGCTTAGCGTAAGTAGCATGAGCATCATGACTGTTATATTTGTCTTCAGTGTTCTGTAACAGACGAATTAAGCGTCGGAAAGAAGGCCATCAATGTGTACTCCCACTCAAAGCCCGTGCGCAAATAGGCTAGCGGAGATCACAATAATAATATCCACCACACTCCACGCAGCCAAAGGATAATATATCGACCACTATTGTAGTACCTTGTTAGTGATCTGTTACACTCGGTCGACAAGAATTAACCATATCGGTATTACCACAATTCCAGAAACAGTGGCGAGTCGAACGACGACTTGTGGGATTTCAGGCTGCTGCATTGAAGGGAGAGGATACTCTTGACGAGCTAGCACTCACACAAACTACCCACTAGAATAGTCGACTGTTTGAAATAATCCGCGAGCGCACGTGTCCCGCGAACAGAAGGACGCTCTACATTAGGGATAAATAACATGAGTAGAAGCGTGTATGCCTTGACTCTTGAATGTGTCTTAAAACGGTAACAGGCAATTCAGCACACTGCTAGCTTGGTCAGTATTGAGTCGTGAAGGTACTTGCGGTATTAAACGAATTTCTGTAGGGTCGTAATGCCAAACAAACTCAAAGAAGCATCAGTACAATACAGCTGCACACGAAACACAATATAAGCTTACATTTCTGCAACGAATGGTCCAATAATTCAAACACTGAATGTGCCGGTTGGATCCAAATATGTAGGTGTTAGATGGAAGTCAAGGGTACGGCCAGAGCACAAATGATTCTTGACACACAAGGTCAGAATTTGCGAAAGATCGTCATTCTACTTCAGCCTGATAGCAAGAGGCCACCGGGTCCCCAAACGTTGAGATAGCCCTCGCGGCAAAGGAGATCGTTGATCACACGAGTCAGGTAGGTGGCGGAAGACGTTCTTGGAGCTACAGACGAGAATGGAGTTTTGAATAGATGTAAACTCAGAAAGATACATATAATAGCACATGTGCGTACCAGTACATAACGGTCCCCCACAAAGTGTGATATGCCAACATGCTTAGACCACCCACTACTGCGATACGCCGAGGTCGTCTTCTACGTCCAACCTATAACAATGAATCTCATTCAACTGTCGCCGGGACATTGTTGTGGAAGTGTACCTCATGCTTTTCACATTGGGGCATCGAATACGTCCGAGAGTCTTACTGACCATGACCAGTGAGACTGAATTGTTGAATGACTACTGAGCGACCGGGGTAAAGCTTGTAGGCGCCTTTACGCAGTTCCAGACTTCCTGTGCATGAGTTTTTGTTATTTACTTTGCAAGTGATCCGCCAGGTCGGAGAAGTCTACGATAGCACCATGTTTGGGCTATATATTCTTACTCCGCACGTTAGGCGCCGTATGCCGGGTGGCAAACATGTCCCAGAAGATATTTACCCACAGCGCTAAATTAGCATACATACAGCTTTGTGTCTAGACTTCCTGCACGAGTATATGTACATAGAGTTCCGCTAAGGGGGAAGAAGTTGTCCTACTGCCAACTTGTTCTACCATCATCAGCAAAAAGCGAGCGAGAATACCTACGTTTAGATAGGATTCTAATCGCCGCTACACTGATTTTACTTATCATACTTACGAAGAATTCAGAAGTTATATCTGG